ATTTGTCGTCACCAGCACTTTCAAGTAGAAATACTATTAAATTTTCACGATTCACTTTTATTCAGCAGTTGACCGAGTTGATAAAATTTTTTAAATATTTTATGCTCACAAAGACGGTGAGCGCTCGCTGAGCATGTTTACTGAGCGCTCAGTTCGCTGAACGCACCGAATCACACTATTAACCCTTCTTCATAGAAGATCTACGACAATGTTCCAGAAGTAACTCGTTATTGTCCCTAAACGAACACCCTTTTTGGGATGACAATGTTTAAGCAAGCGGACATTTTAATTTTAATTAAGCAAATGACCAATATCAGCTGTCTCCACTCGGTAAATATAGTAATCTTTCCCCAATAGTACACAAAAGAGAACGGCGATGGACCTTATGCAGGAACAAATAGAAATAACTCATATCACGTTTGCCTTCACGCACTTTGGCGCCAGCTACAGTATGTTTCATTAGAATCGATAAGGTGCCAGTTGTTCCAACTATTCAATATGTAAAGTACTTACAAAATAAAATGTTTAATCTTATTCACAAAGCCGTGACAAATGAGACAGTACTAAACCCGAACGGTAAGCCATCATATCCTATTTCCTCGGAATTACCAATATGAAAGGAAACGTGCCGCGCTGTGATTGGTCCTTCAGCGCATCTTTTTTGATATGGACGCACTGCGAGAGTCCTTGGATTGTGAGTAAGTTTGTTAATGAATTTGGAAACTACTACGCTTAGACTTTTGTATATTCTTCTTTTCATAGATAGTTGAAACTACCAACTTAAGGCACACACACACCATTGTATCTTATCTCTCGTTAACAACTTCTTGTTGGTCAATCTATTTTCCAGGAAATTTGATGAATACACCTTTCTATTTCTATTTCTATTTCTATAAGCAAGTGGTAACCACTTTTTTCTAGCTCTCAGCAGGCGCATTCTACTGTAGGTTTAAGCATTTTCACACCTAAGCTCATGTGCAAACGTGCAGCGGAATTATCACCAATTCAAATACTCCGCCACGTCTTTGCATGTATGATTCTCACATCAGCCCTTAATGCAATAACCTTTCATATCTGCATTAATTATAATCACACAGCTCGCCATGGACCCACTTCAGTAGTAGCAGTGGCGTGACATTAATTTCTTGAAAAAACTGCTTATTTGCCAAACACAGGAATGTGTAGATTTGTTTATTATAATATAATTAAATTATGGACTCCGTCGCGAGAATGTATGTACATACATACGTATATATGTGGTGAATTTCGCTTTCACTCTTAGTTGCATATGTTTGTATGTCTGCTTTAAAATTTTGTCCAATTAAAATCAAATAAATCTGCTATAAATTGGTAAGAACCCGTTAAATGAAAATATTTGAGTAATAAGCAAAGGTTTGCTGCCACTGGTGCGGAAGAGAACAAATTGGGAGAGCAAGCAAATTTATTCTGATTTTGAATTTCAACTACAAGTCGCAGAAGAAGAACAAAATTAATTGAATATTAATTTCCCAAATCAATCAGAAATTTTGCCAATATTTTTTCCTACTTCTTTCGTCGCATACACACATGTACAAACACCTTATTCTTCTTCTTTGCCGGCATAGACATCGTTTAAGCGATTATAGGCAAGTTAAGAATAGCGCGTCATTCATTCATTCTCTCCTTTCGCTGTTTAGCGCCAATTCGATGTACCAAATATCGCATGGTCTTCTTCACGTGGTCTTTCCAGAGGAATGAAGGTCTTCCTTTTCCGCTGCTTCCACTAACGGTTACTACATCGAAAACTTTCAAAACCAGACGCTTGAACTAGCCAGCACAGCCCCTATTTCGTTGAACTATATTAATTTCGCCGTATATCTCGTGCGACTCCTTATTTCCTCGGCTATCGTATTCGCCAACGCTCCGACGAACAAAAATCTTACACAAAACTTTGCTTTGGAAAACTTACAACTGCAATTCATCAGATGTTGTAATCGTGCACACCTCCGCAACAAATAGCGATTTGCTTTCTTATCCTGTCTGGAGAAAGCAGAACTCACGGCGCGCTTGATTGATGTATACTCTTGTAGAATATTGTACGTTCTCTATTCACCTCTGCAGCTTGTATCATTTTCTCGAGCAATAAATTAAATAAGTCATACGATAAAGAGTCGCCTTATTTGAAAACTCGTTTGGTAAGGAATGGCTCGTAGAGGTCCTTGCCGATACTGACGCCGCTTTTGGTGTTACTATTGCCAGGAATACCAAATTTAGACATTTTCAATTAAAAAGACTCTGGTGAATAACCCTTCAATACCACTGAAAATACATATACGAGGTGTGACAAGTAAGTAATGAAACTAATTATATTGCCGTGATTGGGGAAACGCTGCGAAATTCCCTTTCACTTCTTCTCTCCATTGATATATTTGCCTTCGCTCTACCTTATTTAGTTCGCCTGCTGTGTCGTGTTGAGTAAATGTTTGTTCGTGGTGCTCGTCACGGAAATGGAAAGACGAAAACAAAAGCAACACGCCGCGATAAAATTTTGCACCAAATTGGGTGAAACAGCTTCGGAAACCTACGCTAAAATTTTAACAGAGCATGGTGATAATGCTCTTAGTCATGCCCAGGTGTTTCGATTGCATCAAAGGTTTAGGGAGGGGCGTGAAAGCGTGTAAGACGAGACGCGCATCGGGAGACCAATCGAGGTGATAATTGCCTTTTTTAATAGTCCACAAAAAATTTCTTCCACCGGCACAAACCGTAAATCAAGTCTACTATCACCAAGTACTCGAAAGATTGCGAAAACAAGACAACAGGGTGCGCCCAGACAACGCTCGTAACTGGATCATTCATCACGACAACGCTCCATGCCACTCCGCCCTCAGCGCGTCCCAGTATTTGGTATCTAAAAGGATCACCGTGCTGCAACAACCGCCTTATTCGCTCAATATGTCAGCCTGTGACTTTTTTTAGTTCCATAAAATAAAATAAGTGTTGGAAGGAACCCATTTTGAGTCGATTGAGAACATCCAGGCGGCCGTGACGAAGGTACTCGCAGACATCCTAGTCGAAGTGTTCCAGAAATGTTACGAAGCATGGAAAACGCGCTGGAATCCTTATATAGCTGCCCAAGGGGACTACTTTGAAGGGGATGGCAGAGTATAATAATAAAATAATAATATACGGTTTTTAAGGAATCAATCTCATTACTTAATTGTCACACCTCGTATGTATCTTCTAAGATATTTTTGTATGTCGTAAACACCACTTTTCAATCACTATTTTGATATTCTAATGCAGTTGAGCGGGTGTGAATGACAATTCAATGGGTTATGAACTGCTCTCAAGGATATATGAATAATATATAAGCTACGTTAATGGATATATAGTCTGTATATATCTATGTGCCAAATGTTGAGAAAATAAATCATTTGTAATATTTTTTTCTTATAGCTGACGTCACTAAGCCTGCATTTGAATATATCAAAAGAATTGTGCACATTGAAAAACTACTTGTTCATTTTTCGCCTTCGGCAGTCCAATTAACATATTCTATTTGCGATATAGAGTTATATTTTTTATGTTTTGTGCATATACATACTATATATAATATATAAGCAAGTAGAAGTATGTATAGTATAGTACGGCAAGACCGAAAAAAGCCAGCATCAAGAACACAATATACATTGTATATATATGTATATATATATCTGTAAGCAGTCAACTGTTTTTCCACAAATTCGGGCTTTTTTAGATTGCCTCAGTCAAAAGGCGTTGCACTTGTTGAGGGTACCCCTTATTGACCGTATGAACTGATGGCAGGAGTTTCTGATGCATTCTACGATTAAAATCGAAGAACACAGAGAGCATAACCTTCACGTTTGATTAGACTTCTTAACCTTTATGTATATATATTGTATATAAACTCGTGAGTATACTCATATATATATAAGTGGCGCTTGGCAACCGCTGAAGCGATTTTTCGGCCGAGCTCCTCCTCCAATTTGTCATGTGGCTCTTGATGTTTTTGCAACAAACGTAGGAGGTTATAGTTTATACTTCGCGACCTCCGAATGGCCGAGGGGCGATCGCAATTAGAAAAATTAACTTAATTTTTTATTTAAACTAATTTTCTATAAAACTTGTATGTTGATCGCAGCAAGACACGTACCTTGGCCTTCCGAATGGCGGAACGCAGTGAAATAAAAATTGCAATTTGGAACCCATAGTGTATAGTTTTAAGGCGAAAACTTTAATGCAAACGAAAAAATTAGTAATTGATTAAAAATGAAAATTCTCGTTATTTTTCAAAGACACCTTGACGCATTTCTGAAGCTCATGGTGGCTGGTAATGAAAAGTGGATTAGCAATGTTAAACGAAAAGGGTCGAAATCAAAGGGCAGTGAGGCGGCACAAACGGTCTCCATGCCAGGATTGATGGACAGGAGAGTTTTGTTGTTTGCCTGATGGATTTGGCAAGGAATCATCCATCATGGGCTGCTCCCTTACGACCGAACTGGTAATTCGGACCCGTACTGTCTGCAATTGGACCGTCTGAAGGGAAAAATCGACCAGATGTGCCCAGGAGGGGAATTGTGTTTCATCAGGAAAATGCCAGACTACACACATCGATCGAGACTCAGCAGAAACCTAGAAAGCTTGGTATATGTTCTTAAGTTTTAGTCCGGACTTTGGTTAATGTAGAATTGACTTCAAGAGAAGCCTGTAAAAATCGAATATCTCAATTTTATGCCAATTGGGACGAGGGATTCTATGAAAGAGACGTAATGACATTACCTTTAAAATGGCAACGAGCAACAGGGTGCATATTTGACATAAATGGGAGTATTCTGGGTTAAGGTAATCCTTTATAAATAAATATATACAAAGTCACGTTCAAAATATTGAATGTTTCTAACATGGGGGTTCTTTATCTTAGAGTAATTTTAATGAATCAAATTTTGAAAGAAAGTAGAATTTATTTAATAATCATATGATTGTTATTTAATTTTTTTTTGATTTTTTTTTAATACATTTTAGATAATGTTAAAAAACAAATGCCTTCTTTTATCCAGAAATGTGTTCGTCGTGTTCACTAATATTTATAGATAATTACGTCAACCATTTTCACCCTTTCAGTGTGTACATACCTATATAAATTCACCACCTGGCTCGCTCAGTTGCATCACTCAATGCAGCAATTATGTCCTAATTTGACACACAAAAAAAAATTGCATGAGTCATTAATATAAATATTAGTGCTATGTATTATATTATGTACATATTGTATGTAGTCATAATTGTAAATATGAATTTTCATAAGCACATACATATGTACATACATCTAAATATTTGTATGTAAAAGTGTACTTTTGAAATGTCAAACAGTGTAATTACAATAATTTGATGCCGTTAAATATGCTGATATACAAAGTTTTTACGCTGCATGAACAACTTCAAATGTCAATTTAGGGATTATCTACGCACTTAATAACCCGTTTGATTGAGTTACGTTATCACCAAGCATTGCTGATTGACTCCCTGTGTTCATATTAAATTGGCTAATCTAAAAAATGTATGTATGCATATGTATATATGTGTATTCTAACAATATACCAGTGATTGTTATTGTTGTTTGCGATTGTCGCCAGTATTGCTGAATAGTTGATAACCAACTAATGAATGGCATTTCAACCAATTGATGACATGCTGTGGTGAAATGGCATGAAGCCCTATAAAGATATTGGCTAAAATCATAAGTACTCATATGTATTGTATGTATGTATGTAATATATATACTCATATGTACATAGATAGGCTTTTATCACGTACTGAGTTGATACAAACTTGTACTCCATGTACATACATACACGTATGTCCTATAACAAGCAGACGAGCACAGTGTTTCCTGCACCATACGATGGACGATGAAGGAAAGACTTCAAGAATACGAACGATGGAACGATAAGCTGTAATATGTGACGATATGGACGTTGTTTCATGAAATAAGTGACAGCGTTTGGATCAAGGCATCCGGATGGATAAAAATACTTCAGTTTTGCAGGCAATCCGCAGTGGAAAGCAGAGGGCATCCGATCCGGTGTGGTTGCCCCTAGGCAGGGAATTTCATTCATTTGAGATGAAATAAATGCTCCATTTATTTTATGGTAATTTATATTGAAATCTTTGCATACTCATAATTTTATATTTGGTTATTAAGCAATCGAACCCTCGATACGATTTTTGTAAATTGATCCTGGTCCGTTTCCTAGAAAGAAAAGTTTTTCCAGATATTAAGGTATTATACCCACTTGTAATTTTCAATAAATCAATTTTTTTTTATGCGCATATATTTGAGAATATTTTCCGAAAATCGGAGGCTGATCCGACATACAGTCTCTTAGATATGATGGTATCATTGAGAGCGTCTCGTGGCGTTCGTACTTAGCGTAAACGGTTTACAAAACTTTAAATTCGTTTTCCCGAAAAGCTGTTCTAAGAGGCAGCAAGAAATATTTCCCTTAAACGGCTGAGCCGATCGGCTTAAAATTCACATGACCTTTTAAGACGTATTTGTTAGTGAATGATCGAAGGAATAAAATTTTTGACAATTAATTTCGATTTTTTAAAACACTTTGAAGCGTCACAAAAAATGAATTTTTTTTTTTTTTTTTTTTAAATACGCCATTTTGTCAAAAATTATAATTTTCACTATTCATTTAATAATTATCTCTATTCATCTATTAAAATACTGAGTTTTTTTGGGTTTCGGGTTTCAGATAATTTGAAGCGGAAAAATCTTCCTCACCGCCACACACCTTTTTTTGGAGGCCCCTCTGGAGATCGGCTACAGGAACAAGAGGATCCAATATTTTTTTAAATCAATTATTTATTGTTAAACTACATTAACATTTTTTTAATAATTTATATAATAAAATGTCTCTAAACAAAAATCAACAAGCGAATTTAACCTCTTAACCGAGGAAAAGAGCCAAATTTAAAGCAAATGATACCAAAATCTCGAATTTTTTGAAGACATATTTAAGTATTATTCTATGCAAGCAACTATCTATGTTCCAAATATAAGACAAATCGAAATATAAATACGATCTTTTAATCAATCTCATCCCTACTTCCCGGATGATAAAGTCTTCTCTATAGTAATTAAGGCAAAAAGCTAACCCTGCATTAACTTTTATGTAAATCCAACTTATTAGGAATAAAACACCCACCAAGCTTAAGTTTAAGTGCTCTACGCTTAGTGGCTTAGGTTATCGATTGATTGGTATTTAGAACAAAACCTGTTATATATTATAAACATAAATACTTGAAGATGACATAATTTAAAGATTTCTGTTAGATTAAATCAAATTTCAATTTTTTGCTAAATACTTTTGCTGGTCAATGTGAAGCAATACAACCCATTTCTGCTTCCCACTAAACTTTCAAGGATTGATATATATATAACCTGTTACTTTTAAACCGGTATCCACTGTTGCTGCATTGAAATGATGATGTCCTTTTCAGTGGCTGTTTTCTAGAATTCATTTTTAATTTAATAACATAAATAACATTAACGATTTTTCTGCACTATTTGCTATTAATATTTATTTGAGAATGAAAATAGCATCTTTGACTGATGTTATTAAAATAAAATGAAAAAGTAGAGATTTGTGGGTTTTAAGTGTAAGAATGATTTACAGTCATTTTAATATGACTATTTTAGTATGACTTAAAAAGTCAATGTGAAAAATATCGAAAATGATTGATTATCAACCCACATACCCGTACATATGTACATATGCGTGTATGCATGCGTATATCCTACGAAAGGAAATTGCATAGTTACGGTTGAAAAAATCGTAAATTAAAATCTGACAAGTCAATTTTCAACATACAAACATACATATGTATGTATCCACAGAGATTTAACTTAATTGAATTTTTTATCTACATATGTACATAAATATATGTTCAAATATTATATAATATAAACGAAGGCATGTGGCAACAGAACAGAACTGATGTCCAATAGCTCAATAATGGACTGTTCAATCGACGAATTTTGACAGATTGTCTTAATTTATGCGTCATACTTTGGCATTCCTTTATACACGTATATAAATATATGCAGCTACACTCGTATATGTACATATATTTATGAATGAAAAATTATAATTGCTGTGACGTTCATAGGTTATTTTTTATGCTATTTGTTTTATTGTATATTAACATATGAATGAATGTGAGCATTATTTCATACTATTGACGTCTTTTATATATCCATTGTAGACGCGAACCCTTTTCAATTACAACATTCTCGAATATATCGTTTTTTCTTTTTTTTTTTTTTAATTTCGCAAGACCTCAATTGATATTTGGCTTACTTGAAATTTAATTGATATTTCAAAGAACGTCGAAAATCCTAATTAAGCATCATCTAGTATAAAGTTTTTTATTATATTATTTATCTAACTAGTTCAGATCTATGCTAATTCACATACAAGTTTAACGTATAAGAATAGCTTTTAGACCGAACATACCTACGCACGATTTACGCTTATAACGTAATCACACTAATTTCTGCCAATTCGTTGGTGATACCATTTTCGTAAGGAAAGTATTATTTCTATTAAAAACCATATACACTGCGCGACAACCGATTAGCACACTCTCTAACCTATCAGTTTAAAGGAAAATAACTCCCTTCTCTGAATATGTTTCATGCGCATTCTATTTTTCCTTTTATTCTGTATCATTTTCGCTCATTCTAAGTATAACTGTGAGCTCTGGAAGTGTACCGTTATTTCGCTTTACTTTTTTTTTGAAGTGCGACAAAAATGCTTGCATGTTTTTGCGACAGCCGATTAGCACATCTTCGCTTTCATATCACTTTTTGCGTGTAAGCTGCCTTGATTGGCTGTTTAAGTTTATTATTTATTTATTGGGAATAATTATCAATAAAATAAAGTAATAATGGGCAAAGGAAAACCGTTGGACGAGTCTGAAAAAGGCAAAATAAAGGCTTGCAGGGAGTGCGGGCACTCTCTTCTTCAAATATCAAAAAATATTAAGCGCAGCCGTAAAGTTATTGCCGCATATTTAAGCAATGAGGATGCATTTGGGGAAAACATGAAAGATCGGCCATCATCAGTAATAACAGCAGCTGACAAGCGAATCATACTACGACACGCATCTAATTCCCACGACTCAGCCGTCAAAATAAAGGAAAAAACTGGAGTTAAAGCGTGCGTTCGGACTGTGCAAAGAGTTATTTCGAATGCTGATCATATGAAGCATCTAAAATTAAAATAAAAACCACCTCTAAACCAACTTAGAAAGATGCAACGACTCAATTTCTGTCGATCAAATATGACCTGGACTAAGGAGTGGGAGCGTGTAGTCTTTTCAGATGAAAAAAAGTTCAATTTGGAGGATCCTGACGGCTATGCCTACTACTTTCATGATCTCAGAAAGGAAAAGCATACTTTATATCGATTGCACAGCCGTACGGGTGTGTCATGGTGTGGGGAGCTTTAACATACTTTGGCACTATAGAACTGCAGTTTCTTACCAGCCGTATGAATGCCATTGCGTAAAAAGGTGTACAGAATACGGCTTTCCCTGCAATCAAGGATATTTTTGGACCCTTAAAATGGAAGTTCCAGCAGGACAACGCACCTATCCACACCGCCAGGAATGTAAAGTCAAAACGTGTAATTACTGACTTGGCCGCCATACTCTCTCGACCTAAACATTATAGAAAATGTTTGAGGATGGCTAAAACGAAAGGTGTACGAGTCCGGCAGGCAGTATTCAACTGAAGCAGAACTCATTGAAGGAATAAAAAGGTCCTTCGAGGCTATTTCACTCAATTATATAAAAAAAATTATATGACTCCTTACCTCAGCGGATGTACGAAGTCATACTTAACCGTGGAGGCTCAAAACATTATTAATTTGTTTTCAAAAAAAGTTAAAAATATTTAAATTAATATTAAAAAATGATTTGAATGAAGTTTGAACCCATTTTCTTTTGTTATTTAAAGACTGTGCTAATCGGCTGTCGCAAAAATAATAGAGAATTTTGTATGTTATGCTTGTTTATATTAATTTAAAGTGTTATTAATAAAGTTAGTATCCTATCTTCTATTATTTTTAGTGTGAAATTATATATTCTTTTAAGGGAAAAAAAAATTATTTGAAAAGCTTATTTAGTTTTCCTGATATTAAGTTTCTAAGACGAGCAGCATAGGGTGTGCTAATCGGCTGTCGCGCAGTGTATGTATATCTTTTCAAATATATCGATCTACTTCCCGTAAAAAGAATTATAAGTAAATAATCCAGCAAAAAATACAATTTTTTCGAATTAATCGGTTCCTAGTGCACTTCCCGGAGGCAAGATTAGTCTTCCTGCTAATCTAACCAAAAAGGCACCATCACATGTACCGAGTTCCAAGTAAATCAAACCATCAGTATGGCTTTTTCAAATAAATAGATTAGCTCCTGGTCGACTTCTCGAAAAATGATTTTTGTATAAACCTTTCCTTACACCATAGAAACAATCTGACAATCCAATTCAATCGGTCGATAACTTTTGACATTTGTGTACTTATACAAACGAATATAAGATTTTTTACTCATTTAGGTATAGTAAAAAGTAATTCTTTTAAGTTAGAATTATCCGATTTTTGTCAGATATCAACTTTTTGGCTTGATAATTTTTTGCTATTTTGAAGGCATTGTCATTGTGATTCTCTCATGGGAGTCCAATAGGGACAGGCAAATAGCTTCTCTTTAGATCAATCTTTCACCAGCCAAATCATAGACAGTAATGGTTGGTAATTACTTTATGTGTGGTCCGGACTTTAAGGCGGAGGCATTTGAATCTCCCAACCAAGCTCTCAGAGTTTCTGGCCAGTCACCAGCGATGTGTGTGGTCTGGCACTGTTCCCTGCTGTGGGCCAAAGTTCAGCTCTTCTGGACCATTACTTCCTTCAGGCGGTTCAATTTGTGACAGTACAGGTGCGAGAGGAGCAGCTCATAGTAGATTATTCCTTGCCCATTTCCACCAAACACACAGAAAAACATTTTTTGCCATTAATCCTGGCTTGGAAACCGTTTTTGTCGGCTCACTGCCCTCCTACCGTTGCCCTTGCTATGAGCTATCCAATTTTCATCACCAGTTAACAACCGCTTCAGAAATGGGTCGTTCTTAGTACAATTCAATAGCGATTCACAGATGGAAATTCGCTCCAAGATGTTTTCTTGCGTTAACTCATTCGGCCCTCATACATCGAACTTCTTTGCATATCCAGCAGTTTTAAGTAGTTCCAAACTATTTTTTGTGCAATGCTTAGCTGCTGTGAAAGCGAAATCGTGCTTGCATGATAGTCAGACTCGACGATTCCCCGTTCTTTCGACATTTTCGCCTTCATTGGCCTTCCTCACCGTGTAGCACCTTTTACATCAAAATTACCGGAACGAAGTCGATGAAACACCAAAATTGTGCATGATTAACTGTTCGGGTATCAGAACTATAAACACCACTCACATTTTCAGCTTCCTGACTTGTGTTTTCGTCGTTAAAGAAAAAAAATCGATTATAGCCTATTTTCTGATTGCAAAAATGATAGATTACTTTTTACTAGATGTAAGGCTACAAGAAAATATTTTCGTATAAATATGTAGCTTTTTGTAATACTTCTTTATACCATACACATATGTATACTATGCACATAAGTATATATGTATTAAGTATTAATGTTCGACCGGCATTTCTTACAATCACATGGCTCTGCCAATCCATCTCGACACCCAGTCAGAATATTTTTTTATTTTTTATTTTTTTATTTTTTTGTTGAATACCAATTTAATTCATCATCATATGCATTTAGCATTTCGCCGACTTTAACTCGATGTGCAACCGAGATTACAATTTCAAATTTTCGCCGAAGAATTTAACATTTTGAAATTTTGTTTTACTAGTTTTGTCCAGTTTACAAAATCCTTTCTCGCTTAGCAACCGAACATTGCTTAACGCTTAATGCGTATGTAAATCAAATTGTGCGGAGATTGTTCGTACATATGTAGGCATGTACTCGTATATACTCATCAGACGTTTTTTCTTTTTCCCAAAAAAGTATTGGTCAATGGATACTCTGCGTAGACGCAGGACTGTGGTTGTGAGTTCATTTGAGAACACTTTTATATACATAGTCTAAGTGCATGCACTCGGCTCAACTATCAAAGCCGGTAAATTTTTTATATAGGACATCGTTTGTTGTATAACGGAAATGTAGTGTCAATCGAAGTTTACATTAATTTATTAGAAACATTTAAATAGAACAGCCGAAGATGAGTCATTTTCATCAATGGTTTGAATCGATTACTCAGAAACATATACAGCATGTACAGCATTTATCAGTAAATCGATTTATCGATGTCGCCGCAGAACTTGGTTTAAACTTGTGCAGCTTACAGCATTCTAACGGTTAACATAAACTTTCTAATAAAAACTCTTGCTTGAGCTTTGAGGGTGCTTAGCAATCCACACTGTAAGAAACTTGATACTCTCGTCCACGAAATAGCCGGCGACTTTTTACCCTTGGTAGGGAACATCAGGCTCTTCGAGTGTATTTCTGACACGAAATAAAAGCTGCCGCTGCGAGGCAGCTTAAAAGTGGCTGCGTTTGTTGAAAAAACCACAAAACGCATTTCGGAGGAGGAACTCGGCCGAAATCGCTACAGCGGTTGCAAAGAGTCCATTATATTATGTCCCTCTGCGGGTTAGGGGTGAAGAATTTACCCGCGGTAAGGCATGCCTGTCTTAAGACGCGACTAAAATCCAATACATCCCGCGACAGTCGGGTCTTTATACCGGCGCAGGCGGATTTTTATCTGGCCAAGGGCTGTCACTCCCGCAACATTCCCCAAAAAGTACTTTGGGGAATATTTTTGCGTTAACAACAACAACAACAACAGTCCATTATATGTACATTAATAAACAGATGAATAGGAAAGCGAGGCTGTTGACAGTCGTAACTATGAGGTCGTATTTAATTTCGCTTACTTTGAAAAAAAAAAAAAACATTGACACCAATAACTTCGTCAGACTTAAAATCGAACACAGCATCACTGTTGCCAACAAGTGCAACTGAAGGTTGAGTAGGCAACTGAAAAGTAAAGTGCTCTCTCGATGAACGAACGTCAATATCTATAAGTCACCCAGTATTCCTAAACTTCTGTAAGGTACTGACGCGAGGATGATGACGGTATCTCATAAGGATTTTCGCAAGGATTTTCGAGATTAAGGTTTTAGCCAATATCGAAGGAACGGAAACGAATGACTTGTTATTGTTAACCCGGCTATGATCGCGTAAACGATACCAGATTTGACCCCGATATACCTAAAATATGGCCTACATGCACAGTAACCACTTATATATATGTTCCCTTCAGTTCCACTGTACCTTCAGTCCGAGTCCGTAAGAACAATTAGTTTTCTGGACCTCACATTTAAATGATTGGTTTTATAGAAAAATTTTTAAGGTACACAAAGTCATGAAATGTCACTAACATATGTTAGAAAGGGTTTGAAAATTTCTCGGAAAGCATTCTGACGCTTGCCACACTCAAAAATTGTAAGAAAGTTCACAGATGCCAATAAGAATTAAATTAAATAGCAGCCTCAGAGTTGGCTAGACTAATTCGCTCTGACCCTTTCGTGAATGTTTGGTCCACTCAGTGTCATATTAGATCCCATAATGAAGAAACTACTCCGTTGTACCCAGATTCCTTTCCAATTACGTCTTAACCACCTACTCACGTCGTACTTTCTGAAGAGTAATTTAAAATTAAACTTATGAAAAAATAACTTTTTATTTAACACTTTGCCCAGGAATGCCCACCGTGGCCGATGACAAAAAATATCGAAGCAAAAGTAAACAGAAAGAAAAGCATAAAAAACAATTGCAGATAGTAAGCTCAGTTATGGAGCTTTTGCCGCTTACACTTTTATGGCGAAAATCAGAGAAAACTAACACAAAGAGAGAGAGAGAGAAGAAAAAACTAAAACACAAAGCGCAATCAGCAATTTTTTCATGCTTTTGGCAGTGCTAAAGCTAACAATCTTTGAGAAAATTTCGATTATTTAAAATTTTAGATATCGTAAGGTAACTCCAACTAGAAAATTTTCTTATATTATTCGAGTATAAGAAATTTCCATAAATAACATTTATACGAACGCTTGCCCATATTTTACGTTTTGGGTCACAGTACATTTTAAGACCCGAGATTTTGTACTCTAAACACATAAATGCAAATAAACATTGTCACTAAAACTCATAGAAATCGGAGTAATATATCATTTAGCCCCCCGTACAACCGATTTGTTTATACAAGAGTCAAAAATCCGAGAAACGAGTATATAAGAGCCTACGATTTGGAATTCTAAGCGCGTATATAAAAATAAGCATTATCCACGAAAATCATCCAAATCGGCGGATTAAGGGTATGATTTTTTTTGTTCAACATTCGTGTCTACAAATAAACATAGTCACCGAAAATCATCGAATTCAGACAACTCCATCCCCTTCATCCATTTTTTCAGATATGAGAAATAATATTTAATTCTATTTGCAAATTGGATATGGAGATAAAAAATATTAAAACCATTCTTTATTGTTTTTTACAATTGTTTTTTTTTTTTTTTTTTTTTTTTTAACAAAAACAAAATTTGTGATTTATGCCTTTTTAATGTATAGCAGTCAAGCGTAAATAGTGTAGCCACATCACAAAGCTTTTACACTTTTATTAACGAAAAACAATGCCAAGTAGACAACAAACGAAAAATACTCGTAAAGAGAACTGTGAAGAGAGAAAACTTGTGTACGACACTATCATTGCTAATATATACTGAGTGCTAAAAGTGGCAGTAAGAGATAAATAAAATATATACAGAAATGAAAATTGTTATTTCAGTAGACGCTAGGTAAAAAAAATATTTTTTAAATTTCAAAATTCTACCTTTAAGCACAACACAACAATTTAAACTAAATTGAAGTCTAAATAAAATTATGATCTCTTAAATTAAACATTAAAATTGTATTGTATATAATATTTTTTGGGTTCCGTTCCAAATATGTAAGTCAACCCTCAGAATTAAATGGCGCTAAGTATTACGGAAATCATAGAAAAAATTGGCTTTCGACGAAAATTGTAGATCTCATAAAAATAAGTACAAATTTACTCCTTAGAAAGGTATTTAATTTAAAAATACTGAGCTAGGCGAAGCAGCTGTTCATCCGGCTCTAGGCAATTTTTTTTTCGAATATTATGATTTTTTCATGAAGATGAAATGGTCGCCAATTTTCTCCTTCATTTCCGTAATCAGCACATGAAAATACGTTAGTATACGTAGTGCCATTAAATTGGGAGGGTCGACATATTCGGAACCTCCTATTATTATATTTTAGCATATTTTTTCCCTAAATAATAAAGCTGTTAAGGGGCACAGCTAGTGTGAAATTTCAAAAAATCGATCTTTTTCCATATTTCGGTAGATTACACTTATTCTACTAGCATATTAAAATTTCAAATCGATATCTCAAATAGATTTTGAGTTATAGCTATTTAAAGAGCAGCCGCTCGGCAGCTAGAGAGTCTCATTAGCTACGAGTGACAATGATCATTTTATCTTTAAACGCGTTTTTCTCGAAACAGCATTTTCCGAATTTGCTGCAGTGATTACTCAAAAACAAATGATCCGATTACTATCGAATTTTTTTACATGTTCTATATATAGTTCTCCGTACAATGGCCTATCGATTTTTGATATGATCAAAAAATCGAATTTTGGCAAAAGGATAAAAATTTTGGGCAAAATTCGACTATTTTTTTTTAAACGCCGCCATATTGTCAATTTCCGTTTTTTATCGTAGGCCATTGTACAGACAATATTATCTTATAGAGAATTTTTTTTAGATTCCATCCACGGAGAAGGCCGAAATCACTGCGGTAGTGAAGAACCTTTCTTGTCTTTTGGAGATAGACTATAACTTAAAAAATATTCAATTTTTTCTTCATAAATTTCACTGTTTATTCTTGAAAAATGTATAAATATATTCCTAAAATTTTGAAACAATTGATAAAGTATTTTTTTTAATAAAAAATCCCAAAAATCACCAACGTGTGCCCCTTAAGCTTATTATAATTTTTTTTGTTGTATTTATAATTAATTTTGTTGCAAACAACTTAGCAGTTGAAATAACCCAAATTTTTTTAAATCATGAAATATTTAATTAAAAATAATTTCCGGGTACTTTTCAAACATAAAAGTTAAAACTTTCAAGCACACATATGTTTTAGCGTAGCCACAGCTGGGGAGAATAGTGATGTGTGTGATATTGTCGAAGAAGGAAGGAACAAGTGCCAACTAAAATAACATATTTTCTGCAGTGATTTCATAATTAAATAAGTTACTATTCAAAATATTAATTTAGTAAATAAAGGTAGATAAAAATGTTGAAAACAATCTCAACTAAAGTGCCAGCAATGGCTGGACGTTATGTGGGCAGTGTTGGAGATATTGCCAATCGAACTTTGGTGACCAGTCAAGCGTTGAGAGATAAACATGAGTGAGTAAATAGATGCATACATAAATACATTTACATATGCAGGTATGCAAGTATGTAGCGCGTATTAGCCTCACAAATGAGTATAGTAGTTAGCATTTTATAAAAAAAAAAAAAAAAAAAAAAAAAAGAGATCAATATTTCTTATTAATTTTATTATTATTAAAGTCTTTATTCTCAAGTGTTGAGTCAGCAAGCAAGTTTTACTAAAAATCCTCTTGATAAATCATAATAAAAAAAAAACAAATTGAATTTTGCTTTAATGAAAACTGATTATTATGTGATTGAATAACTACCTTTTTACTACAATATTAAAACCAGTTGAGGAATAAATAAGTGGCTCCACATCTTTCTCTGGTATCTAGACGTGAATCTTATATACCATTGAATTAAACGCCCAAAGTTAACAAATAGACAAACTCATGAGTTTCTGGCAAATATTCCAATATTTATTACCAATATACATAAGTACGTGATGATTATATAAACATATATAATATACATTCACATAATCATCATTTGTATAATCAATTTTTTGCCGGCTACAGTTTTTTTAGCACTCCAATTCTCAATATTCTGATAACGTAAATACTTGCAATCTCATATATATATGTGTGTATGTTTTCACCATATACACTCATAAAAAAGACAATTTGCTTTTACTTAAGTTGATTAGTGTGAGGTGCGACCCAACAGGAAAAAAGTGAAAAATAAATGTAATCGTGTTTAGTTAAAGCCACAAAAAAGAATTTGAACGAAGGAAAATAAAAAAAAATCATATTGAGGATTTTTGGTGGATTTTTTTTTTTTGAAATACAAATTTTTTTTTGTTCTAAATAGTTATTATTTGAAAAAAAAATTACAAGCACTCGAGCCTTTTTTTTGGGCCTCATTCATAAAATTCGTGGTACCCATCGAGCAGATTTCTTTGTGTATCCCAAATGATTACTTAATATTCGCTATACCGCCATGCCATTCAAACCCAATTCATTAGCAATCTTTTTTTGTGTCAATCGTGGGTCTTCGTCAATTTTGGAATTCACCAGATCTATAGTGACATCATGAGTGGAAGATTTCGGTCGTCCTCTACGGAAAAAATGCCCGGCCTGGAATCTTAGAAACCTCTAAAAATAGTCTTTAAAGGCGGTGCAATCGTTCCATGTACAATTTGGCATTCACTGAATATTTGTATTGGCTGTAAATTACGCCGAAACCTGAAGAGAATCATATGGCGAACTTCTGTTTGAGTTGGTGGTGGAACTTCGTTTGACCTATCCTTAATTATTTTCTCGTCTCCATTTTAGCCGATCGTTCTGAAATTTGAATGGAAGACTAATAAAGTAATTGCAAAGGATTTGGTATTTTTAGATTTAACAAAAAATAAATTGAAAGTTAGCAACTGACCGAACTTTTGTTAATTCCCTAGTATGTTCCTCTGACCCAGAATCCAATTAAGAGGTAATCTATTATGTTTGGCTATCTACTTTATAGATCGACGGTAATCCAGCGTACCAAGTGATTTCACCCATGAAAATAAAAATATCTTTGCTCATCTGTTTGGCGCAAAGGGAATATTTGTCTACATAATGGCTGAAGTTTCAGCTTGAAGTGCACTAAAATGATCGATTCGCCTGAAAGAAAGCTCAAAAGGTGAGGTTTATGAGTAAAGAAGAGGCTTTCGCAAAATCTTCCGTTGAGCACCAATTTATATATTTAAATATTGTCAACGGGTAGTGAATTTGATAGATTTATCTCTTCCTCTTGATGTATTTAGTTACTTGAGATCATTGTTAATAAATCATTTATATATAATAGCCAGACAATTGTATATGTATTGGTCTTTCGGTGCTCACTGCCACTCACAAGTGTCGATACTATATCTCTTTGTGATAGACAAGATAAAAAGTCAACAATTTCCTACAGGCAATGCTACATTAATTTAATGACAACAAAACATTAAAAAAAATGATTGTGTATATAGATATGTATATACATAACATATATGGTACATATGCAAATAATTTCAAATTAGATATGCAAAAGGTAGTATCTTTGATATAGTAATACATTTCCCGTTGTAGGCAGAATTTTATTGGGCGCAATATATATAAAAAAAAAATATATATATTAATTAATGGAAGGCCATAAAAATAGGAAAAAGGTCTGTGGAGAACTCAAACACTAATCTTTGAATTCGCTAGTTTTAAATATTTCGTTACCGTTAAATTATCCGATAACCAAAGTTTTATTTAATTTTTACATTTAAACTTGATATGAGGCATTATTAAAGTTTATTTTATTATTATTTTATTTTAAAATATAAATTAGTTAATTTATTCTAATTTTTGATATATTAATTTCACTTAAATCTTGCATTTAAATTAATTGTCTCTATTTTAATTTTTAATACATTTATTATATTTTATTTTTTGCATATTATTGTCGTAAAATTATTGTAAATTACAAGAAAGCAAATATTTTATGTAAAACTATAATATAGACAAGAAAAACATACAGTTTCTTTCAATATTAGTTTTAAACAAAATATTTTCATTTGTTTTCTTATAATTTACATTAATTTTCATTAATTTAAATTTTATTGTATCAATTTTTGTTTGTTTTTTGCATTCAAAATATTTTTTTTTACTATTTACAACATTTTTAATATATTATTTTAGTTTATTTTTTGCATTTATAGAAATTTTACTTGTCTTTCGTAATACTTTCGTATCATATTTTTTTTTTATATTGAAAATATTATAATTTTTTTAATATTATATATTAACATAAGATCATTTCATTATAATTAAACATATTTTTAATTATTTCAATTTTGAATACCATAATTTTTAGTCTTTTTTGTAATGAAATAATTTTTAATTTTTTTTCATTTTCACTATATTAATTTCAGTTTATTTTTTATATCTAAAATAACTGCATTTATTTTAATTTTGAATGAATTAATTTCAGTATATATTTTCATTTAAATAATTTTAATTGTTTTAGTGTTTCCTTTTAATATTATAAATTATTATAATATAAATTTTTTAATACATTAATTTTAGTTTTTTAATTTATTTAAAATCCTTCTTCATTTGTGCTTCAGATGTCAAGTACTCATTGTCGGTGGCGGTTCCGGTGGCTGTGCGTTGGCCGCAAAATTATCCTCGAAATTAGGCAAAAAAAAAGTGACTGTTGTGGAGCCGGCTGAGGTAGACATTAAACTCCTGCACTGTAACAACTCAATATTAATATCGCATAACCGATAATTGTTTTTTTTTTTTGTAGGAGCACTACTATCAACCAATGTTTACGCTAATTGGCGGTGGCATGAAACGCTTGGAGCAATCTTATAAACCAATGGCTGAGGTTTTACCGAAAAATATTAATTGGATTAAATCATCAGCTGTGGAATTTGATCCGAAAAATAACAGTGTCAAAACGGCTCACGGTACAAATATTAAATATGATATGCTACTGCTGGCAACCGGTTTGCAATTGAACTATGATAAGGTGTGTTAATGACGTAATTTACAATATTTGAGAAATACTGAAAGTAAATTAAGAGAGATTTAAAAAATTAATATTATTTTTAATTCACTTAATAGATACCTGGCTTAATTGAGGCACTCTCCATACCAAATGGCAAAGTTTGCTCGAATTACTCACCGAAGTATGTGGATCGTACCTATGCATGCCTGCAAAATATACAGGAAGGCAATGCCATCTTCACCTTTCCGGCATCGCCCGTAAAATGCCCCGGAGCGCCACAGAAGATAGTGTACATAGCTGAGCACTATTTCCGTAAGGTAAATAAGTTGAGATAAAATTTTTTAGGAAATTTGTGGCAGCTGTTGTCCATCACTAAATAAATATAATTTTGACGCCTAAAACTATGTCGCAAAAATGTGATTTGCTTTGAGTAGACTTCTTTCACAATTCTCGGTAGGTTGATTAACAGTTTAATTTTGTTTACTTTGTTTTCAGTTGAATAAACGTGATAAAATAAAAATTACATACAACACATCGCTGCCGGTAATTTTCGGTGTCAAACATTACGCCGATGCGCTGTGGAAAGTTGTCAAAAAGCGTAATATCAATGTGAATCTGCGTAGAAACTTAATTGAAGTGCGACCCCGCGACGATATTGCAGTATTCCAGGACTTGGACAAACCGGAGCAGATATTCGAGGAGAAAGTATGTATAAAAACATTAAGGTTCAAGGTTAAGAAGGAAATTCTTAATATTCAAACATTCCAGTACGCCATGTTGCACGTCACACCACCAATGAGCGCACCAACAGTGCTGGCTCAATGCAAGGAATTGGTAAATGACACCGGCTTTGTTGATGTGGACAAAACAACATTGCAACATTTGAAATATAAAAATGTTTTCGCCATTGGCGACTGCTCGGCATCTCCAAACTCCAAGACAGCCGCTTCAGCGGCAGCTCAGTCGCCGGTAGTGTATCGTAATATGATTGCCGCCATTAAGGGTAAAGAGTTGAAGAGCAGTTATGATGGTTACGCCTCATGTCCGCTGGTTACCGGCTACAGCAGCTGCATATTGGCGGAGTTCGATTATGATTTGAAACCACTGGAGACATTTCCAATTGCGCAGAATAAGGAACGCTATTCTATGTTCTTTTTGAAGAAGGCCTTGATGCCCACACTTTATTGGAAACTCATGATGAATGGCTATTGGAATGGGCCGGCACTGATGCGTAACGCTTTGTCCTTGTTGAAATTCGGTAAAAAGTGAAAATTCTACAAAAAAAAGGATTAATAATATCAAGGCTAATAAATGTATTTGTGAGGAGATAACTGCAATGAATGGTGAGAGAAAATTTTTTTGTATGTATTTTATATAACTCAAAATTAATATATAATTTTATATAAAGATTAATTTTTTTTCCAGCAACGCAAATGTGTACGCGCTGCAGTTTCAATTACTTGAAGGGGCCGAATTCAGCGTTTGCTCTCTAAAAGAGGCAATGAAACTGCTCAAGTATCGCTTTTCCCAGATATTCTATTGTAAGGAGACTGCCGCATTCATTTTTGTAAATTTTTTTTTTAATAAAAATTGCCAAACTTTCTTCTTACATTACTAAGCAAAGCCAATTTTTGTAATTTAAATATAAATAAATACATATACATACATACATGTATATATATTTGGCGCTTTACTACCACTGAAGGGATTTTCGGCCGGGCTTCTCCTCCAATTTGTGGATTTGTGTCTAGATGTTTTTCAACAAATGGAGAGAAATACAATTTATACTAAGTCGTCTTCGCACCGCTCATGGTTTCTTATGAGGAGCCTTCATTTTAAATATGTATGTAGGGAGCGGAAATTCATTGACAATTTTTCTTTTAGTATTCATTTGATGTTAGGTTATTTATTTTTTTAAGATTTTTGCGTATTTTTTAATACAAATATTCGTATACCAAGAGTAGGCCACAGATCTGTGAATATTTTGTACGTATGTAAATGTACAAATATGTACAATATGTAGCCGGAATTTTAACAAGTGCGGGCGTATCATGCTTAGTAACAAATACATATGCATGTATATGTGCCACTTTAGGGCGACACGCACAATAACGGCGAACTCTTTAATGCTCCCAAGCCCTTTTTCGACATTCTCTCCTCTTTATGGGCTCATCCTTGAGACCGGTGTTGCCGTAGGGATTTTAGCCCATTCTTCACCTTCGCTTTAATATATCTCAATATTGACTGATCTTTTCCAATCCACTTAGTGCTTCGATTCATTCGTCAAGCCGAGTTTTCTTACCACATCTACACATGGATTAAAAGGGAATTCCACAAGTAAGTTCAGATGAAGCTTTCAATGCTATGGTCAATTTCAATTACTTTATGAACCCCCCCAATGTGCCACATTTGCATTTATATCACAGAAATTTTGCAATTGTAATTTGTCTAACGGCATACTTGCAATTCTCAAGCTTTGCTGTTGACTTCTTAAATATGCTAGTTGCGAATTTTGAAAGCTTGAAACAGCCACCCGTAGGTGGTTGCTATGAAGGCAAATGTAATTTCGCATTTACGCATACTAATGACGAAATTTACATTTTGCGGAAATCAAATTAGAATTTTTTATACAAATTAACTGATTTTCAAGGCTTTAATTAGAAAAAAACAAAGCGTGTTCCTAAAAATATGCTAAGAATTTCGCTCAAATAAACAGTGTCAGAGAATTTCCAAGAAATGAGTATTTGTTATTGTTGCCGCAGAGGACTTAAAATAACGAGAAGTTAATAAAATCTACGTGAGGAATGTTTCATCTACATATGTACATATATTTGATTTATATAGAGGTCGAAATTACGCTTATGGCGTCATCTATGTGTGAAGATAAACAACATCACTACAAATTCCAGTTATTACTGTGAACGATTTGCAAAAGCAACCCTATTCGCTGCTGAATACCGCGTCATTTGAATGACAGCTCATGTTCAAAATAACTGAAAGGCAAAAGGATTCAATTTCTAATTTGTGTTTTTGGTGGAAAAAATAAGTGAAATTATTTAATGAGATTATCAAAAAGTATTATTATACAATAAATAATAAGAGAGAATATTGGCAAACTGAAACGCAAAGATGAAAGCAATGTAAGTAATAGCTGCTTTGATAATAAAGCGAGGTATACAATTTTTTATTTTCTTGTAGAGCAAGAACGCCATTGCGTCCTCCGAAGACGCCACGTTGTCATACACAATATAATGACCGGAAATCGGATCATGATCCCAATAAACCAAGAGATCCTGTACATGTTTATTGTCGTGTACGACCATTACAATCAGATGCAGATCTGTCATCTGTGCGAGTAAAAAACTCTACCACTGTGGTCTTAACTCCACCAGACCAAGTAATACAACATAAACAGGGCGCGCAGCGAGAAATGCAGTATATTTTCAGACATGTGTTTGAACCCCACATCTCACAAGCTGACGTGTTTGGTGCTGTAGCACAACCACTAGTTGAGAATCTTATAAGAGGACGCAATAGTTTACTATTCACATACGGTGTAACTGGAAGTGGTAAAACATATACAATGACAGGAGATTCACGTCATCGTGGCATAATGCCGCGCTGCTTAGATACATTATTCAAAACAATATCCGATTATCAGGCAAAAAAATACATTTTTAAACCTGATAAACTAAACGGATTTGAAATTTTATCAGAAGCTGATGCGCTGCTTGAAAGACAAGCCGAAATGAATAGACGTTTTGCGGCCGGCGAACGCGGCGCATTGAGACGTAAAGATTCCGATCCAGAAATCGCATCACAAGCATCATGCGATGTTCCACCACTACATAGTATCGAAGAAGATAACATGTTTGCAGTTTTTGTAACGTACATTGAAATTTACAATAATAGTGTGTATGATTTACTTGAGGAGGACGCACCTCAGAAGTAAGTAACACTTCCAAAAAAAATAGTCTTAAAATAATACAATCAATTTTTTTTTTTAGAGCTTTGCAAAGCAAAATTATTCGTTCAGATGCTAACCACAATATGTTTGTACACGGTGTTACTGAATTGGAAATAAAATCTGTAGAGGAAGCTATTGAGGCATTCCAATTTGGTCAAAAGCGTAAACGTATGGGTCACACAGTATTGAATGCAGAATCAAGTCGCAGTCACTCCGTTTTTAATATACGTTTGGTACAAGCGCCAACTGATTGCCAGGGTGAACATGTTGTACAAGATAAACGCACCATTGTTGTCAGTCAACTTTCACTAGTTGACTTGGCAGGCAGCGAACGTTCTTCTCGAACCAAAAATACGGGCATGCGTTTGCGTGAAGCTTCCAGTATAAATAATTCATTAATGACGCTCCGGACATGTCTGGAATATCTGCGCGAAAACCAACAGGCCCCACCAAATGCGGCTCCAAAGAAAATTCCATATCGTGACTCCAAACTGACACATATGTTCAAGAATTATTTCGACGGTGAGGGCCAAGTATCGATGATTGTGTGTATCAATCCACGCGCAGAGGACTATGATGAAAATACGGTATTATTTATTTTATATATATTTTCTTATATCTTCTCTTTATAATTTCACCATATCTGATTTTGTTTTACTTTCAGCAAGTAATGAAATTTGCCGAAATGACTCAAGAGGTACAGATAGCTCGTGCAACGCCCATAAAGCCAGATCTGGGCTTGACACCCGGACGACGAAAGGCGAACAAGCTTTTCAAAATCGCGGTAAACAACTTAAATGATTTAGGACACACCGAAGCCAATAAATTGGATGTAGATATTGGTCTGGTCTATTCGCTAGGGCCGGGCTTTCCAGATTACAAAATAGACAGTCCCCAGGCTCAGACCGCTATACAAGAATTGATGCAGTACTTAATGCAGCGCATAGAAAAGCGAAAAGTATTATGCGCTGATTTAGAAAACCGTTGTGATAATTTCAGGGCACATTTGATGCAGATGGAACGTGAAAACTTACAGTTGCGTACAGAATTGGCATCACTAAAAACAGTTTATAAACAAGAGCGGGAACGAATGATAGCTATGGAGAATAAGTTACGTGTGCATGAAGGCTCTATTGACGAGCTTAACAACAAACTTGGTAATCGTGAGAGGCAGATCGATGAGCTCACACGCAAATTACGAGATCAACAAAATCTGCTAACACAAAAAGAGCAAGAAAAGGAGAAACAGAAAAAGAAATTCACTTCTAAATTGGCTGTGGAGGTGGATAAGAAGGATCGTGAGTTGGAAATACGTTTACGTGAGCAGCGTGACAAAATGCGCGAGAAGATGCGCGTACGCGATGAGAAGCTGCGTCTCGTATCGAATATCATACAATCGGAAGATCTGCCCGCTATGGTGCGTCGCAATAGTAATGACAATATTTTGGATGATAAAATGGCAATATCAGAGCCGCCATCAGCTCGGCGTGGTGAGTCCACACAAGTGAATAGTGCTCGAACAGAATTATATGCGACTCCACGTCATGTAAGGGTTAGTGTTTGTTATTAAAAAAAATGTTTAACTAAAAACTATTATTAAACATTTTTTTTTACTCATTCTGCAGGGCATGGCAGCTGCTAACAATAGACATCGTCGCTCACGCTCAGCTGGCGAAAAGTGGATCGAACATCGTGCACCAAATCCTGTGCCGCTGGGTACAATACTACAACCATATCTGAAAAATCGTAAATCTGTCACCAAACTTACCGATGCCAAGGAGCTGACCAATCACAAGAACACCAAATATTGTCTAGTTTCACAGGACGCAGACACAGATGGCGATGTTGAGACCAAACTCTATAAAGGCAATATCATACCAACGTGCGGCGGTGGCGCTCAAGTAGTGTTCGACGATGTGGAGTGTTTAAAGCAAAAATCACCAGTAACCTCTCCGAACCGTAAGCGGCCCAGTAATGGTGGTGGTGGTGGTGGTACGCTAAGTGGTTTGGGTGTTGCTACCTCATCAGTGGCAATGTCTGCAGCGGCGTTCAGTGGCGGCACAAGTGCTGCGCAAGATTTGATGTCCCGTTGCAGTGTTGGCATCGAAGGGCACAACAATAAGCGCACAAAAGTGTAGAGAAAGTTCGTGTGTAAAACCGTCCTTTTATACTTAAAATATTACTGATGATTATGATGATGATGATGATGAAGACTATGAACCATCACTATGTATTAAAATTTATTTTTTAATCATTATTTTTTTTTTTTTTTGAACAGTCGCCGCAGTATGGATTTAAAACTCATACCTATATTATTTACAGAGATATTATTTAGTTTCAGAATACTAACATATACATACATATAATATATTGTGGTATGAATGATTCTAATCGTTATTTACTTAATTAATATTAACATAAACTAGCTGAACGGTATTTTCTTTTATTTTTTGTTATTAACATTAAAACCTCGTATTCCACCATCATGGTATTATACGTATTATTTGTAGCCTATCAAATGTTCTCTCCCTGCAAACAATAACGAAGTATTTTGGAAAAGAATATAAATAAACTGGAGTTTAAAATAACTAAAAAATATGATTTAAGTTTTTTTGCTATTGGAGAGTTCTCCGCTCTAAGTAGAATGAGAGTGGTTGTTAAAGTCTCGCTCTCAGAACTTTTTCAATCCTAAATAAACCCTAATGCGTTTCAAGTGACACCAGGTTGCGGGTGTCGTTGTTGTAGAAGTTTCCCTACTCCGCTTTGTAGCATGCCAGACTAATCTAGGTCACCTAAAGAGAGGTCCAAGAAATGCGCTGTGTCGGCGGGTACGGACAAAGAGGTAGGGGTTACATTAGTTGGTTTTAGGAGATATACGAAGTTGTGGTTAGTGTCGTGTGAGATCTCATTGCAGGTAGGACATACGTTGGATATGTCAATATCCATATATTAATTGTGTCGGGTCTCTCGACGCAGCTCGAGTTTTTTCGGCCCTAAGCCCAATGTGATGGTTTCCATGGCCCTACCTGTTCCTATACGTATCTGTTTTGGTCAACTTTTGTAGTCACTTCGGTAATATATGGCGACAGCATTACCCCAGAAGAGCCAGCTCGTCCGCATTTTCATAATTTTTCTTCACTGTGCTTAGATATCTACAAGAAGTCAATGGCGGCTGTTCCTTCGACGTTGGAAAGGCGTTGTAGTTATTGATGTGAAGCCATCTTCGCCATTTAGGTGGTTATAAAAGATTCCATCACCTGGTTCGTTCTCTGATTCAGTCCAAGAAGTAAAGATAAAAACGTCTTCACTATTACTAATACCCTTACTGTCTTCCTTCCCTCTGCTCCGGAAGTTGGCTTTATTGATATTTTTGTCAATATTTGAATAAAGTTTTTTATTATCAAACATTACACATTACGATATACTTGACCGTATCGGAAGGATATTACCCTTTACAATGCTGCCTATAAAGCGTTAGAGGTACAAAGGCTATACTGAGCGGTTTTTAGGCATTTCTGTAACTTCTTCCCTTACGACTCAGTATTTACAGACATCCAGAGTGCATTGTAAGTAGCCTGCAACGTTTCTTAGGTGAGTAGCTGACGGCAAGCAACATGACTTAGCTATACCCAATAAATGTGCGTTAGTGTTCGTTGCCAACGACCATGCCATTCAGTTCTAGCCGGTACTCGCGCATGCGTGGGGGTTAATGTTGAGTACTTGTCAGTGAAGAATTGATAAAGATCTACAAACTGAAATAATCAGTAGTCCGGTCAAAACGCAAAATGTCAACGGTTTTTTCGTCGGTGCAGGACAACATAACAGCATCATATGGAAAACTAGAATCGACCTAACTATTATAAGTGTAGCCGCAGACGCATCTAATGTGAATATGCCAAAGATGCATCAATCGAGTGAAGATTTGTTTTTAATGAAAATAAAACTGCATTTCAAATATACATATATTTTTTGTTACATACATATACTGTATTTTATTTATTAATCAATTTATGAATTTATTACGATTATAGATATATATATATATATGTATTTGTTGTTTTTGCATTTCTTTATAGTATACCTTTGTATGTATGTATGTCGTTTGTATATGTAATTAATTTGTTTTGTTTAGAGTTTTAGTAAATTTATTTCTATTGGCTGCATGTATGTAAGTATGTATTCATGATTTACATATACAATAATAATAGCACGTGCGCGCACACAAATCAAAGAAAACAACAAACAGCAAGCAAGCAGCAAGCAAGCGCCCACTGTGGGATGGGATGGGTTGGGATGCAGTGGGAGAGGAAAGTGACGAGGATGAACCGAAGGAATGAATGAATGAATGAATGAATGAATGATGATGATGCATTTATGTATATGTGACTGCATTTGTATATATGGCTATGAGGAAATGGAAGCGTTTGTATACTGATTCTGTTTCGGCATAAGTGTGGTCATAAGCATTTTTTTAAGCTCTTTTTGTTTACTTTGGCTTAGCTTGTTGTTGCTGCTGCTGCCATTGTCGTTATGAATATGTGTGTAATGCATTTCATTTCATTTTAATTTCAGATACTTTACATACATTTACGCATCGCTTTATAGAGTTGTTATTATTTGTGTGCTGCTGTTGTTGTTGTTATGTTTTTATTATGCTTCATTATACTTAAAACTGATACAGTAATATTATTAAAATATAGATTAGTTAGTTACTAATAAATCAGTCTATAATTAAAATTTAATATTCAATTTGTTTGCTTCTTGTTCTTGTTGTTGTTGTTGTTGTTGTTGCTGCTGTTTATGCATCACTTAATATGTATATTAAATGAATTACGCACACGCACACGCGCACGCACACATGTGGGGCCGGGCTTTCCACAAACGAACGAATGAATTATAATTTCAACGCTGACGAAAAGCGTAGAAAAGTTATAAATTTTACAATGATTTTTATGTTTTTTTTGTTGTTTTGTTGCGTTACATACAATTTAAAACGCTTAATTAATTTAAGTTGAGGCGCTTGCCTTCGCATGTGTGCGTTTCTATTAAAAAAAAAAAAAAAAAAAATTAAAAAAAAAATACATGACACTACATAAAATATCTTGCTGACAATTTTATATCAAACTTATGCTGCTGTGTACGGCTGTAACTTTAATTAAAATAGCTGCGATCGGTTTGCATTTATTCAATCAATTTTAATTTAGCTCTTAATTCGTCTATAAAAATACGCATTTGGATGCTCTTTTATGCAAAGAAATATCTGCATGGCAATATTCTTGGCAAATATATGATGTGTGTGTATGTATGTTTGTATTTATGGATTATTAGTATGTATAAAATAACAGAAATTGCTCTGATACAGTTAAGTTTTACATATTTACGTAACGAAAATTAACACTTGCAATTTATATAGAATTGATTCTTTACTGAACTACTCTTCTATAACAACGATTTGTTAATAAATAAAATGCTTTGAACGAAACTAACAAATCGCAAACATACAAAGTAAAATATTTAGAAAAATATATTTAATATAATATTATATATATATATATTTTCCCTAACAACTGTATGTGGTTGCTTGGTTTGTTAACACAATTTAAACGAAACTATTAACGTGATGACTCTTAAAACTGGAGCTGTTTAAAAAATTAGCAAGAAAAAATAAACAAAAATTTCCTAAAATTTTTTTCTTTAACAAATTACGCACCACCAAATAAAATCACGAATCATTCGTGCAGTTTGGTGGTATCTGTGGAAGAACATTTTTAATTTGAAAGCCTTAAAACGAACTCAATTATTTCACATATATGTTTATATGGATGTAGCTATGTGTGAAATGTGCTTCGAAAGACATTTCGTTAAGCGCACATCTTTTGTAATTTGAACCTTTGCTAACAACACAAAACAAGGTTTAACAGTAGAATAGTAAAGAGAAAAATTGTAAAAAAAAAAAAATTAAAAGTAAAAAAGCTAAATACTATAGCAATTTGAAAATGTAGATTTTACAACAATTTTAGCCGACATAATTGCAAACCAAATCGCTTTATAGTATCTATCTATAGTCGTACATGTTAAGTTTATAAAGCTCTCAACAATATGATCTAAATTATTAAGAACTACTTGCCACTTGCGCATGTGGACTACAATACATAACCGTTATATCAAATAAATTTGCTTAAAATGTTTTAAAAAGAAATTAATAATAACTAAAATTAATTGAAATATAATTAACGTTAAAAATACAAATTAGTTGTACTGCTAACACGCCAGAGGCATATAAACCTTTATATGTGTTTAAGAATTTTTGTGTGTATGCGTGGAAAGGTAACACTAATTATAAAAATTTAATTTTCTAACTTCCATAACTTCTGCTTTTTTGTTGTTGTTGTTTTGTGGTTCTTTACACGCATTTATAGCGGTACATGTGTATGATTGCCATGATTTTCGCTTGCTACGCAAAATATTGACCAAACGCTAACATAAACAAATAGGGGTTTCAGCAATGCGCTGACATTAAATGCTCTTACCTAATTGGAAGATTATTATATTATTAATAAATTTCACAATATTGCATTCTTACGATTTTTTTTCTTAGCTTTTCTTAAATGAATATTTATGTAGTAATGTAATTTCGTAAGTGCCCACCTAAAATAATGTATTACTAAATTGTTAAAATTTCAAACCAAATACGAATACATTTATATTTTTTTTTAGCGCTTTTACCGTATACACACCCTCCAATTAGATAATGTCTCTTCCACTATGCGAAAACAATCTACATACATATAATGTGCCAAATAATCTCTTAGAAAATTTTACAATTTCTATTAGCTTTTGTATTATACATACACGTATGTATCTTGGGTGGTAGGCTTTTCTAAAACATTACGTAAGGATTAACCATAATTTTCGCAATAAATTCAGGCGGTATAATTTTATGTGTTACGCTCGTGTACATACATACATGACATTACAAAAGTTCATAGTGTTAGACAATTTGAACGCCTTCGTATACATAATACGTGTATATATATGTATATATACTAACTACGTATGTTGTTGGCAATGTTTTGTGTAACTTGCATTTTTTGTTTGTTTGTTTGTTTGTTTATTGGTTTGTTTCCACATGCTATGATTATGCTGTTTTGCGTATTAGTTGTATTATATTTTTTTGTTTATATTAAATATTAACTTTGTCTGCAACCTGATGTCACATTTCCTATGAACATTTTACACAAGCTCCTTCTACATCAAAGTCCAGAACCATAAGTTTGGTTTCCTCTGTACCGTTACGCGAGCCAACAGCACATATAAGCTTTGTATCGTTCGCCCTGCAAATTAATTAAGCAATGTTTTTTATATACTAATTGATAACTTCTTCGTTCATAAACAATTATGCCATACCTTATGCGCCACACAACACCACCGGAGCCCCCCGAATCCAAAGCGACTAAATTACGTATAAATTCACCCGTTTTAACGTCCCACAATTTCACAGTACCATCATCCGAACTCGTAACCACAAATCGTGAATTGAATTGCAGGCAAGTTACTGCCGACTGGTGCTTATTAGGACCTTTATATACGACAGTTTAATTGCAGCCTTATAATTTCGATTTTTTTTTTTTTTTTTTTTTGAATACACTTACCCGATAATGTTTGCAAACATTGCCCTGTTGTGATATCCCATACTTTTACGGTAGAATCGGCATTACCTGATACTAAAATATTCTGGCGCAGCTCCATGCCGGAAGTCAGACTTTGATGACCCATTAATATATGTTTTAAATTGCCCGACTCGACATCCCAAACGCGTATTGAAGTATCTAGCGAGCCAGAAACCACATGTACGCCATCGAACTGCGCGAAAGTTCAGGTGTTAAATGAATATTATTTGGATCAAAATATGTTTTGCACTTACCTGTAGGGAATAAACACGATTCGAATGTCCGGAGAGTGTATGCAGACATTCCTGACGCTCGGGATGCCAAATCTTCACCATATAATCGTATGCTCCGGACACAATCAGTTTGCCGTCATATTGCACACATCGTACCGCTGCCAAATGGCCAACCAAAACATGCAGACAAGTGCCTTGTTCAATATCCCATACACGCAAGGTGGCATCGCGCGAGCCGCTTACAACCCTATTAATGAAAATTGAAAGCATAATCCATATTAATAATTTTATTTGACTTCGTAGCGAATAAATATTCAAATACAAGCAGATCTGGTAAAATCGTCCTGTTTTGGACCAACTTCAAAACAGTAAAATTAGTTTTTGCGAGAAGTGGACCACGTCAAAGTGTCATTTTAAATGTACTCATCTATGGAAAAAGTGTCTCGCTATACTCGGTCAGGTAATATACGCTTTTCAAGAAGTAAACTAATAAGAAGTATAAGAAACGTGTGTGTATGTGGCCGAGTTTGTATACCGTACCCAGATCATATTTATTTCAGTATTACTCAGGTCTCGTGAGTTCTTCGTCTGCTATATGTGTTGGTTGGATTCCGTTAACGCCTTTCACAGAAAAAGAATCTCTCTTTCTCTTTAAATAAAATTCATAAAGTCAAGAGGATCGTAATTAAGATTTGCAATGTGTACAAATAGCTACGTTGGACCGGCCAGCCGACTGCTTTTTAGGTTGCCAGTGTTAACCATGCCTATGGGAAGGTCAGATTAGTCTGGTCAGGCGGTAAAGGAAACGGTTTCGACGGTCCAATTATTGTGTGCAGTGAAAAAATAAGAAAAGTCGACTAGATAAGAGTTAACTTTCTAACACCGCTTTGACCGCGGCGATAATGAGGAATGTTCCTGTCTTCGTTATTAGGGAAAGGGGATATCGGTCGACAGTTTCTGATGTGTTACTAATCAAATGGACAGAGTTTCTGTCGCTTCATGATTGCAGTTATAGTAAAGCTCTGTTGAATGGAATCTTGCTTATACTTACTTTTTGCCGTGCAAATGCATACAGCGTACAGTGGAGGTGTGTCCCAACAAGGTGTGCAAACATTGACCAGTATCCATGTCCCAGACTTTCAGTGTACGATCGGTACTTCCTGAGATTATGATATTACCAGACATCTGCGAAGACCAAACGCCACCAGTGTGGCCAACGAGGGTACGCAAACACTAAACACAAAAAAAAAGAAAACAATAAAGATATAAATAGGAAATTCCCAAAATTCGTTTAGAAACTTTTTATGCCTCCAAGTGCTACTTACTTTGCCAGTCACCGCCGACCACACTTTCAATGTATTGTCATCTGAACCGGACACTATACGATTACCTGAAAATTGCAGGCAAGTAATAACATGATCGTCGTGTCCTTTTAATACCTTCGGCTCGCGTATGGGGCGCGATCGCCAATTCATTTCAATGATGTGCTGTCTCATATAAGCAGCCTTCCATGGAGACGCTATTGGCGGCATATTGCCTGCGCGTCCGCGTTTCGGTCGATCCTTGCGTGGCTCTGTGAGGATTTGTGCTTTACGGCATTTCTCCTTCCACAGTAAATTGTCGTCACACAAGAAACGCCAACTGCGGCAAGTCTGTGCGGCACGTAACAAGTCTTTCGGATCTAAATATGCAAGTACTTGCAAAGCTAGCTCACGCGGCAGCAACGAAATAAAGTCGCGTTGGAATTGTGGTTCGATAACCTTCATCATGTGACGAACTTGCGTAGGCTCACAATACTCAATTAAACGATCGATTGCCAAAAGACGCTCAACATGGGTCCAACGTTGGAATTGTGACAGCCATTGTTGGAGTTCAGGCGGTGGATTCTCGCGAGTTGGTATTATTGAACGCGGTGTGCGGCGGCCGACACATGTACTGGATGAGAGTGGTACCAGCTGTGTTGAGCTCGTGGAGGGCATGTTTACTAAAGCACTGGAGAGGCGTGGAGTTGACGTTAAATCATAAGCGATGCGCTTTCTGCCATTAGCATCATCAATGCTAGCAGAGTTAGCATTATTGGATATAACGGCACTGGCGTTGGTGTCCAACAAACGACTGTCATATTTCCGCTTACGCTGCGGAGCATTAGTATGCGCACAAGAGGTTGTAATCTCTGCATTGAGGTTGGCTCCATTATTGCTCGCCACCTCCTCCGATATCGAAACCATTTGTATGTAATTTGACAAATCACCATCTTTGGCTGTGCCAATGGCACCAGCTGCAATACCTCCCGAAGACATGTCACCCGTATCAATATCCGTCTCATTTAAGCTGGTGTTGCTACCGCCATGACTGCTGTTGCTAACGCTGCAGCTACTACTGTGTATGCATGTGCAAATTTCTTCATCTGAAGTAGTTTCGTCACAATCTGCCCATGAAACTTCATCATTGAGGTTAGCCGCCACAGCCGCAGCAATCGCTTTGAAAGCCGCACTAAGGGCTTCGTCAGATGGTGTGGTGCGTGTCAGTTGGGCTGCCAATTCAGCGCGGCGGCGTGATCTGGTAGTTGGTGGATTGAGAGTTGCATTGGCTCCTGAACTCCCAGAGCCAAGATAGCGCTCATTGGTTTGCGCGCTGGCATTTACTTGACGCAAACTCTTTGTGGACGGAGCATAATGACAACGCGCAGACGATGTTGAAGGTTGAGCGTCATCGAAGTCAGCCAAAACTGCTGAGCCTGCCGACGCACCTACACCAGCACCCGCTGCGTTATCTGCCGCCTCAGCTACAGCTGCGTGTATAGAACTGGTGCGACTACAACCGCCCACCTCAGTTCTGTCAACCGAACCAATTGTATGCTGCTGTTGCCTTTGTCGACAATGGACAGTTGTTGCAATACTGCTCATAAGACTGTCATTTGAATTAGAGTTTGAGTATATCTCCGCTCCACTACCACCACCAGCTGTACAAGCTGTGGTGCTAGGTATTGACAATGATGAGGTTGATGCGGCAGTAGGCACCTCTACAATTACTGATGATGACGATGATGACGTAGATGAAGATGCAGACGACGTTGAAGCAGAAGTAGATGAAGAGGCAATTGAATTTGTAAATGTATGAGAAGATGATGATAATGAAGTCAGACTATTTGTTTTGCCAATTTGTTGTGATTTATGTTGTGTCTTGGAATTGTTGGCACCTTTGGTCCGCTCCTGAAGTAGTTGTGCTTGCCTATGTTGGGGATGACTTAGAGAAGAGCACAAATTGAGTTTGGCAGTAGATTTGGTTAAACGACTGTTGTGGATGCGACTACTTGTTGGTGTTGAAACTAGATCCTTATAAGCACACTGAAATAGATAAATTTTATTTATAATCTAATACTTTATTGTACAGTTGTTTGTTGTAACTTACCTTGCTGTCAGATGAAACGGCGCGTCCACTTCCACCTCCACTTCCGTTACTATGACTGCTTTTATTAATATTGCTGCTGCTGCTGGGACAATCATCGCCCAACTCCAGCGATTCCTGTTGGCCTCCTGAGTTATTTTGCTGATTCTGTAAACATGTTGACTTCACCAGCCTTAAGTTAAGCATGTTTTTCTTCGCCACTGTGCTATTCTTTAAAATAATACCACCCGTCAGCCTTTGCTCTTCCTCAAAATCGGAACGCTCTACCAAATCCATAGCTTCGATATCAACAACACTGGATTTCGTTAATGCGTTAAGCTTATTTTCATTGCCACTTGAACTACACGGATGATTATCTTGCAGTCTATCAAGTTTTGTTACTGTATTACTGATATTCATTTTTTTCAGTCGAAATGACATGCGGTCATTGCCATCAACACCCATGTATGAGCCCAACACACTTGATTTATCCTCGAGATTTGCATTTCGGGTATTATTCTCGTCAACCCTGCCGAATGGTTCTGCCTCATCTGTGAGCATAAATTCATCACTTATCCGCTTTGGTTTGCCTGCTTTATCATTAGGTTCGCCTATTTCTCGTGCATTCCCAAGTTGTACATGATGTTGACTTTGCTCCTCCACCACCGGTGTTTCGAGGTAAATAGTGGCACCTCCGTTGGTTACGATAACACTACCCGTTTCTTTACTTAATTGACTATTCGTGCTATTAGTTGAAAATCGTTTATGCTTTTGTTGATTAGAATTATCTTCTAAACAGTTTTGGTGAACATCGTTTTCATTCACCGATGCTACCGACGCATTTTCCAACGGCACTTCCTGCACTTCTGTCACATCGTCATCATCATCATCATCATCATCATCATCATCATCATTGATTACATAAACTTTAGACACATCGAAAAATTTCTTAGACGATGCCGTACCCTCGGATATATCTACCAATTTAATGGTATCTGTAGAAGAAGCATCATCAACTACAACATCTCTCCGATCATCCGCACTATTTGGTGGCAATGAGTTCGATGAACTTATATCAAATGTTTCCAACACACCGGAAGTGGTTGTTTCATTATCCAATACTTCGGCAAAATCATGTTGCGAATCTACGAATTCCTCTTGCAACAGCGACATTGAGCGTGTATGTATGCTCCTAGAAGTTGAAGGCTGCTGATTCCGCGATAACAAATTCGACTTTCGAGGCTTGTTTTCTATAGAGGCGGCAGCAACAACGGTGGTTGTAGCAACGCCTAACGGATTTGAATCAATAGCATTGGAACATGTTTCTTCCATAATATGGTACAACCAGTAGATGCCACGCTAAAATGTACGCTGTAAAAAGAGATTGAATTAAACAAATTATTTAATTTATTAGTAGCATTAGATAAAGTGGTAAGAATACAAACACAAGAAATCAAAATTGACATTTTGTGTATTCTTTTTTGTTTTTTTGCTGCCTTCAGTAGAGATTTTATTACACACTAATATCTCTTCTCCCTCACCCATTGTGATTATGCAAAGTAGAATTCGAGTGAATAAAATTGCAAATAAAAATACATTAAAAAATGAAATTCTCAGAGCACAAAATAAAATTTGTGTGTAATGACATCCACTATATGTACACATGTACGTGTGTAAACGATGATCGTCTCATGCGAAATTCCCACAAGCTTTCAGCAAACCCACAGCGCCACATTGAACGCTTGTATGTGTGGTAGGCGCATGCATACTCATGCTGGCGGGCATTGTGACGTGCTCAACTCATCTCGCCTCGAACGAGTAGTGCGAATGCGAATTCAAAAATTCCCATACACATACTATGAAAACCAAACAAACAAAAAAGCCAGTAAGCTAGCGCAACAAAAGTAGTTTAAATTACGCCAACAACAATGTAATGATGGTATACAACAGCAATACCAAGCACATATATAAAAGTGATCACAAATAGTATCCATTGTCTCACGTTCAAATGACGATTCTCATGAGTATATAGTAAGTATACTTATACATAAATACATACAACAAATACGTGAATAAGTACTTACAGCCATACTTATGATATAAAAACAAAAAAAAAAGGAAGAAGTAAATAAAGCGAAAATCACAAGCACATCCACATACAAACATGTAAGCTGCAAAAAGAATCAGTGGGAAAACAGCACCAGAGCACGCAGCAGCCAGTCGAACAACCAGCCAACGTGCCAACCAACCAACCAACCAACCAACGAACGAACGATCAAAGTGCCCAGTCAGAGCTGTTGTCTTTTCATATAAAAAAGGAAAAAAAGATATATAAGAAGAAAACAACAGCAATTTAAAAAATATATAAACATATACATATTTATATACAAAAAAAGAAGGCAATCAAAAGGAAATCACAAAAGTGCATTAAAACAGAGTAAACGAGCTGCCATGATCGGGGGAGCATGCGAGCGAGAGCAACCAGAATGAAGACGACACTCAATGGATATGTGTAAATGAACCGAACCGAACCCTGTCGAGCGGAGGAGCGAGTGATCCAATGATCAAAGTAATAAATGAGACGAATGAACCATGCAACCAACTAACTAGCTGCTGACGGCAAATATTGTAAAACATGTGAGGGGCAATGAAAATGTACGAAAGCAGTGGATACAACGAAATTTGAGTTGATCACTGGAATGTACGGGTACGTACACCTTGCGGCATAAATTGTCTGCTGCAATCAATAAACAACAACAACGCTCAAAATAAGTACATATCTATGTATGTGTGTATGTGTATGTACACGTATGCGTGTAGTAGCATGGATCGTCCCAGTCGGCACAACAGCTGTCGGATGCCAATAGTCTTTCTGGCACATATACTATAAAACATTTTATGATAAGTTCACATTTTTCACTCATATTTTGTTGCACATAGAATAAAATTCCTTAAAAAGTATGTAGGTTTTAGATAATAGATTAAATTTATATCTAATAAAAAGGTATATTGCGACCGAAAATTAAATTCTATACAATTTAACCTTAATTAAGTAGAAAAATGCACTTTCAAGCCACGAGCAACACGATAGTTATGGTTTATAAGTGGCCTTGCCAATAATGTGCGTAATAATGCAACAGAAAGATTGATACACTCAGCAGTCTTATAGCTTTTACCATTAATTGTTCACTTTTTATAGCATTCCATTGCAAATAAAATTAACCGTTATTTTAAATGGCACGAACAACGATTGTAATGCGTCACATAACTGACAAAATTAAAACACACAGGGAATAGATTTACTCATATCCGTTATCTTTTTTCCCACCACCAAAATTAAAGAGAAATACCCATCCGCGCATTTGGGCGGCATTTCTTGCATCGGTATGCACTATTAAAACTCAAGGGTCAAAAAACAATCAATGTCCGTGTCAGCGGGGTTGCACGGTTACCTAGCTACAAATGCAAGAATGTACAAATATACCTATATACATTTGTACAACAGCATCTTGCATTGCTTTTATAATAGCAGATAGAATGTACGAAGGTTTTTACCTGTGCGAATGTATGTATCTTGCTGACAAAACGAAGACAAAAAGATGAGAGCTCAATGAAATAGCCCAAAAGCAGATACTTGTTTGACTGCTGGTTGCAGAGAAAAAAAAATGTCACAGCTGTGAACGTGAAACCCAAATCCTTTTTGCTTACAAAGATCCCTATACATTAGCAAAGAAAATGAATATATACCGGACGAATGCATGGAACACTGAGGAGTGTGTATACAAATATACTAATTCTTTGTCCACACAAATATATGTATTTATATTAGTTGAAAATTACGGATTTGAGTAAATTTATTTATATAAAGCGATTAAGAGGAAATTGGTACTTTTTGAAGCGTTCACTATGTTCACATTTACATATATTATAGTCTGCAGAATATGAAATTATGTGCAGAGAAATTGTTATGTAGAAAATTTCACTATTGCCAACCACTCTTTTATATTTATACTTATTTGTATATACAATTAGCTACGACTACCTACTTTGTATAGAAATTTAAAAGCACAATACAGCTGTTCAGAATTCCATCTTTGCATACAAATGAGAATGAGGAAAGAACAAGCAATATTTCCGGATCTGTGTAGTATGTAAGTAAAAATGTTTGTATGCCACATCCGGTGACGCCACCCAAATAAACAATTCGCGGTAAACCGATAGTTAAAACATATTTTCTTACCGTATTAATACACATGGAAATGATCTATAACACCAATTAAATCATATAATATTTATGTGGTCTTTTAAAATGAATACTATTCACATATAATTAGAAAACTCGTGTAAACTTCTACAATTGCAACGCCTGCGATAATTGTGAAAATACTTAAGCAAATAACAAGGTAAGATCTGTTTCATCGAGTTCCGCTGCAGCTAATGTTTCACACTGTCGAAAACATAAAATGCCGACGTAGCAGAGCAAAGCAGTGCTGCGATGAGTTTCACTGTAGCATACACGGGCATATGGACAATGCTTCTCTAACACATACACAAAATCACACACGCGCTCGCACCGCTGTCAAGAAACGTCACGCACCCCAAATCAGGAATTTTTGGCTTTTCTTTACTGCTTTGGGTCCCCCCCCTCCCTTTTTCACTGCTGCTGCTCCATACAAGATGCACACACACAACTGCACGCACGACGCATAAGTACAACGAGGACGATTGCACTTGCAAATTAACGAAAAATTTCACTGCAAATGGCCTCCACACGATGTTTAATAAGGAAAATTCAGCACATTTTTAACACGCAGCGCATCTTTGAGTTTTGGGTTACACCTTTAACACTTCTTTTTTATTCTTCATAAGCCTTTATTGTTCTCTGACGAATACCACTTTGGGGAAATATCTATTCTTGAGATATTGAAAAACTTGATCTCACCTTTCTGTGCACTTCACGTGAATCAAATTACTGGCTCTTTATGATCCACCGCGTTTACTACGCCCTTAAGCGTTAATTTAATTATTTTAAAATTAGTTAAAGTTTTTGTATGGATCTGCAAATTTTTAATTTCTACAGAGTTCTTTATTGCAAACTGTCGAGTTCTTCAGTGAGTGAGACGTATAAAAATTGCCAGCCATTAAAAAAAAACAACTTCGTTTATATTCGTCTTTACAGTGTAACCAAGTTAACTGTGTAGTGCTGCCAGAACCGAAAAAAATATGTCTGAGGAAAAATTGCATCAAAGAACGGATATGAATAAGAACCGGCATGACGGTCTCGTAAATTGGTTTTTTCAGAAAGAGCGTAAATTGAAGGTCCAATCTCAGAGTTTCGCGTCCTCTTCACACCATTCGTAGTTCGGAGGGGTAATATGTTGAAGAGAAACCAAAATTTCGCTTGAAAGGGTATCAAAAAAAAAAAAACAAATGCCTAGTTGAATGAGAATTAGAAAAAATTGTTGAATGGAGATGCGAAAAAGGTAAATAACCGAAATTTCGCTAAAATATTTATAGTAAATTGAGAAAAAATGAAAAAGTTACATCAACAATTAAGTGATTATGTGAATTGAAATGAAATAGCAGTGTAAAAAGTCTTTTATCTGCAACGTATATGAATTAGAAGCGGCATGACGGTCTCGTAAATTGGCTTTTGCAGGAAGAGCGTAAATTGAAGGTCCAATCTCAGGGTTTCGCGTCCTCTTCACACCATTCGTAGTTCGGAGGCGCGATATGTTAAAGGGAAACCAAATATTCGCTTAGAATCGCACCAAAACAATAAAAAAAATTAATACAATATAAACGTAAAATAGCTACAATTCTACCCCTTCATTATGTGCAATTTGATTTCATCGTCGAAAATAGCAAACATTCAAAGCGAATTGAGCTTATATTTCCCCATCTATTCATATTGGTCGACGAATAATGGTGTGAAGAGGACACGAAACCTTGAAAACGACTCTACCGCATTTGCACAAAGACCGTATGAGTCTTGTCGCTTCTTATTCATATACGTTCTTTGTTCATTTACGTTCTTTGCCGAAAGCAGTATATGGCATCCTCCATTAAAATAATTACTCTGGCAAGCTCTACTGTACAACAAAAGAAATTCGATTTACATAAATCAGCTGATTGTTTGTTAGGTTCCATCAATAAAGTGTAAAAAGAATGTCATCACCGGCGCCAAAATCTCCCGAACAATCGGATAAAAGTAGGAAATATGATCGGCAAATTCGTTTATGGGGAGAACATGGACAAGCTTTGCTTGAAAGCTCTACAATTTGTTTGCTAAATGCCACTGCATTGGGTTGTGAAGTACTCAAAAGTCTAGTATTACCCGGCATTGGTGGTTTCACAATTGTGGATGGAAGTATTGTGACAGAAGATGACTTGGGAATAAAGTATGTAAAGTAAATGTATTTACATTTCATTTTTAAATGTATTTCCTTACTCACACAGCTTCTTTTTGGATGCCTCCTCCGTTGGCCAATCTAAGGCTAGGGCATGCATGCAGTTGCTTGAAGAGCTAAACACTGATGTCAACGGTGATTTCGTTGATGAAAGCGTTGATTGGGTGCTAACGAATCGACCAGCATTTTTTGATACGTTCGATGTAGTGATTGCTTCGAATTTAAATGAAAAAGCTTTGCGGGGTTTGTCAGAGCGTTTATGGGAAGCAAACATTCCTTTTATTTATTGTCGGTCATTGGGATTCTTCGGTTCGATACGTTTGCAAATTAAAGAGCACTGCGTAATTGAATCCCATCCTGACAATCGGCAGTACGATCTTCGCCTAGAACATCCCTTTCCGGCATTGCAAAAGCATTTGATGGTAAATATAGTCACTGTATAGTACTGGTATTATACCGAAATGGTTACAACAAAAAATACACATACATGAAATTTTATTAAGAACTTGTACAATCATTTTGATACATTTCTATAACGAAATATTTTTGTTTTATTGTAGAATACAGAAGTCACAAGCAAGGTTCCTTGGCTATTGGTGCTAAACAAATTTTTCCAAATATGGAAAGAGAAAAATAATGGACACGTTCCTACCAATTATAAACAAAAGATGCAACTCAGAGAATTGATTCGAGCTGGTAAATTCATTATATTTTGAATTTTTGTAATTTTTTTTTTTTTACAAATATAACCATTTTTTTTAGCAATGACAGCCGATGAGGAAAACTACGAAGAAGCCATAAAAGCTGTTAATACTTCTTTAGGTCGAGGTCAGGTACCATCATCAATAAAAACGATATTTGATGACAATGCTTGTACAAATCTCAACAAGCAAAGTAGTCCCTTTTGGATAATTACTAAAGCAATGAAAGAATTCGTTGAAAATGATAATAATGGATTATTACCATTGCCTGGAGTGCTACCGGATATGACTGCAGACACTGAACCATATATAAAGCTACAAAACATGTATCGCCAGCAAGCATTACATGATGCAGATAATGTTTACCGTAAATGTCAAAAATATTTGAAAGAGCTTAGTTTGCCTGAAGACACAATTAGCGAAAAAACAGTACGCCTATTCTGCAGAGAAGCGTCTGGACTTGCTGTGATACGTGGAACAAAAATTTCTGATGAAAACGCCAAAAGCAGTAACATATTCTCATTTGGTAAGTGGAAGTCATTGGTTTGGTTTTAATTGAAAGATTTCTTGTGACTGTTTTCTAGTCGATGATTTAGAGATTCAAGGTACGCTTGCCGAGCATTATGTTGCCTTGCGTGCGTATGAACGATTTGTCTCGGAATGTGGTAACGTGCCTGGAGAATGTTATGTTGAAAACGATGTAAAGGAGCTTAAAACAGTTGCGAGCAAAATGCTCTCGGACTGGGGTGTTCATGCTACCATCAGTGATGATTTGATCCATGAAATTTGTCGTTATGGAGGTTCAGAGATACATTCAATATCGGCATTTATTGGTAAATAATATTAAATTTCTTGTTTTTTTTTTTATAATTCATTAAATATTTTTTACCAGGTGGTTGTGTAGCCCAAGAGGTCATAAAGATTGTGACTAAACAGTACATACCAATCGATAATACGTTCATATATAATGCCATCACCTCTGAAACAGCGACATTTAAATTATAAGTTTTTATGATCCATTAAAAATTGTAACCAAAATATAACGGCTTTGAGATTCCAATAATAACCTGTTTTATACCTACATATGCATATCATTTGTAGTTTTGATAGTTATAGATGGAAAATGGTTAAAATGCGGATCTACTTAACTAATACTTTTTCAATTAACGAATTCGTTAACAATGTATGTGTATGAATAATTTAGTTATTATTATTTTTTTTAACTTTAACTTCTGCTCCAGCACTTTTAATAGCATACATAGCCATTTCGTATTTAGCGAAGACAATAACCATGAAATTTGAAATCCTACTAACGCCCTGTGTTGTGTGTGTCAGAACAGCTGATATAACAAAACAAACAAATTTATGCATGTTTATTTACAATTGAATCATTTTAAAACTTTCATTGCGTTTCATATAAAGCAGATAAGTTCTTGATGGACGCTTTGTCTCATCTAGTATATTTGAAGATGAGAAAATTTACTTGAAGCGCAACACCTCTGTGCAGGAACAATTTAACAGTATCCAAAATCAACATGGAATCATATCTTTGCAAGCTTTACCGTTTGTGTCGTACATGTAAAAAAGATTTAAACACGACCAAAGCTGCGGATACGGCAATGGGCATTCATATCTTCGAAACACCTCAACTTGCAGAAAAACTCGCTGTTTGTATCCAAGCAGATGTGTTGGCAACAGACGACTATCCCAAACTGCTCTGTTCCAACTGTTATCAAAAAGTTAGCGATTTCTATCAGTTTCGAGAAATGTGTGTTGAATCAATGCAGCGCTTCAAGCAGCTACTAGAAGGACAAAAATTACTTGCGACTAGCGATATTATTGTTGAAGAAACAGATATATTCGAAAATTCTACTGATAGTTCTCAAAAGTGTGTTAAGGAGCATACAGAAAGGAAGAAAACAGTTTTTAAAGGGAGATGTGGCGAGATTATAGAATGGAAATGTGTAGCAGAAACATATTCAGAACTAGAAATATTAGCAAAAGAAGCACGAGATAAGAATGAAGCTGCTTCGGAAGTTGATGAAGTTGACAATTCTAGCAATAACGAACCATGGAATAAAGACAGTCAAGCTGGTAGTGTAGATACAGCTATCAAAAACAATAATAAATCGCGAAAGGTGTTAACGGTAAGATCCATACAAATACTAAACTAATTCGATAGCTTACATTATTTTCCATGCTCAATTTATTATAGAGATCAGTGACTGCAAAAGAATCTGCCATTTATCGCTGTGATATTTGCCCCGCACGATTTTTCATTGAACACCGGCTAAATGCACATAAACGCGAACATGAAGGTCTTTTGCCATATCCTTGCACACATGAAGGATGTGAAAAATCATTCAATCGTTGGAATGCGCTTTCTAGACACCTGCAACAGCATGAAGGACGCCAATTTCAATATGCTTGCGAACAGCAAGGCTGCGATAAAGTTTATAAACACAAACCAACGCTGGTTATGCATCAGCGAAAGCACCACAAATTGGGACCCGAATTGAGATCACTTATATGCGAGATTTGTGGGAAAATATTTAAAACCTCAACAATGCTAAACGATCATCGTTATATACATAAGGATACATCTGAACGGCCATACGCATGCGATCAAGTGAATTGCACGCGTCGATTTTCGAATAAAGACAAACTGAAGGTACATCTTATGCGACACGCTGGCATACGGAATTATGTATGCCCACATTGTGGCATGCGTAAGACGACAATGAACGAACTCAAGGTGGGTACAGTTAGTTAATTACACACCCAGTCTACACTTATTTTAAGATCTTCTCTCTATTTACTGCAGGTGCATATCAATTATCATACATTGGAACGTACATGGCCATGCAGCTTTTGCACACATGTTTGCAATAGTGCCGGCAATTTGAAAACGCATGTACGCACCGTGCACGAACGTGTTAAGGATTACGCTTGTCGTCATTGTGAACGTACATTTGCCAAACCGGACACGCGTAAATATCATGAAATGACACATACCGGTGAGAAACCAAATGTTTGTGCAGAGTGTGGTAAACGTTTTCTACAACCGGCCGCATTGCGTACACATAGAAAAATCCATCAGCGTGAAAATGTGCACGGTGCAAAAGCGAAATGTGGTGGAAGTAGAAAAGCCTCAAGCGATAAAGCAAAACCGGAAGCAAAGAAAGTTGATATGGCTCGTGTGCAATGTGTGGAGCATGTGGAAGGGTTATTGCTGCAATCGGCTACGTAAAATGATTTGTGATTGTGCACTTAATTAGTACATACTTACGTATGTACAATATATAGTAATTATCAAGTGTACAACTTTGCCTCCGCCGTTTTTTTTCCAAAATTAAAAGTTTTATTGCGAAAAAGTGCTTACAGATATATTATTCAAAGTATTGTCCTTCGCTAGCGACAACTTTCTCCCATCGTTCCGGCAATTTTCGGATCCCAGCTCGAAAAAAGGAGTCCTCTTTTCACGCTATCCATGAAGCAATACATTTTTCCAATTCTTCGAAGGATTGAAAATGTTTATCTGCCAGGCCATGCGCCAACGAACGGAATAGGTGGAAGTCAGAAGGGGCGACATCTGGGGAATACGGCGGGTGGGGTGAGACTTCCCATTTCAGCGTTTCCAGGTACTTTTTGACCACTTAAGCGACGTGAGGACGAGCATTGTCGTGTTGGCGGATGACTTTGTCGTGTCGCTCTTGATATTGAATCATGCCCATGGCCTTGAGACGTTTTGAAATGGTTGCTGACTCACTCCCAACGATTCGGCAAGCTGTTGTTGGGTTTGGCACGAATCTTCATCAAGCAATGCTTCTAGTTGTTCATCTTTGAAGGTTTTTTTTCTCTTCCATCACCATGTTTGTCTTCGACATCGAAATCACCATTTTTAAAACGTTGAAACCACTCCCGACACGTTCTTTCACTCAGAGCAGCATCACCGTAAGTTTCTGAGAGCATTCGATGCGCTTCAGCTGCATTTTTTTTTTCGAATTATAACAGAAAAGTAAACCTTCCCGCAAATGGCGAGAATTAGGCACATAAACGGACATTTTCGAGCGGGAATAATACGAAAACAAGAACAACTGTCACTGAAACGGCGATGACAATTCGTTAGGCACTGTTTACACTCACTTTCAAGTCATTATTACCTATTTATGTATTTCAACCAGCCTCAGCCGGTACAGCCACCTATCGGAAAACGGCGAAAGCAAAGTTGTACACCTGATAAAGAAAAGCGTTCAACAATTCAATTGGTTCAAACCTTGCCAAAAGAAGTCTGAGATGGAGTTGTGGTGATCTCCGAAACAGTTGTCACTTCCAGCTTTTTTTTTTTTTGTAATCATTTCATTCAAAACCAGTCAAGTCCTTCGCTCACTAATTCAAAACTAAATTTAATTGTATAGACCATAAAAACAATTATGCAATTTGTTTTTTAAATAAAATTTCGTTCTTTATTTTCTTAAAATATATTAATATATTCATGTTTATAGTAAAATTTACATATATTTCGAGTCAAATATGAAAACTATAGTGTTAAAATTCGTGGAAAGTACTGATATTTGCAACGAAATTAAACAGAGCAAGTATGTGGCGTTAAAATTAGTTGATAACAAGATGTTTAAATCGATTAGAAATATAAAAACATCTAAAAATCGAAAGGCTTTAAGTACATATATGTATATAAATTTTTATAATACATAAACGCAGTTAATGATTTTTAGTAAATAAGTACAGATTTAACTCACAAGACTTCGAGAACTACAATATAACTGCAAGCCGGAAAACTATGTATATATGTACAACATGTGTGAGTTAAGTTAATTAAACGAATTTTACTTTATGCTAAATAAAGTGTGCTTTAAATAATTTATATATTATGCGCTCTTCTATTTATTTTTAACACCTATGTATGTATGTATTATATATGCTCCTGCATATAATATTTATTGCATATTCTTTGAAATTATAGCATATTGTAAATATTGTGTGTAATTTTTCGCTCTGATACATATATGTATATGTATATATAATAACAGTAAAATTGTAAATAATTGTCTGTATGTGTGTTGTGTATATGCTTGTTTGATAAGAATGTATATATGTTTGTATGAGGCAAGGTCAATCGTTATTGGTTTATAATATGGTATCGCACCTGGTGAGAGCGGTAATTAAAGTGATACATACAAACATATGGTATATGTATGTATGTATATGCATATATTGAAAAAGCTCAACAGTCAGAATACAGCATAATGTGTACATACAGCCGTATGTGTGTATGTACATAATAAATTTACAATTTTATATATGTATGTACTCAATTTATATGGTAATTTTTGCTTTAAACAACTACATACTTACGTACATAAAAATTAAAATTAACATACATGCGCTCATATGTATAATAAAAATATTTGACACACACACCTACATCCACACACATACATACTACTTAAGAGCTATTATTATTTAAATATGTATGTTCATACTCGTTATGTCCTTTAAGAACTTTAATATGCAGCTAATAATGATTAACGTTTGCGTACGCGAAAATATACATGCATACATACATACATACATATTTACTCGTATGTGTGCCGTAATGCAAGTCATACTAATATGTGTATATACATACGTACGCGTATTGTACGCATTTGTTTGCTGTCACACAACAATTCTATCTCCTCACATATAATATTTCAATGCCAATCTCAGAGTCTCAGCGATGCAACGTTAAATATTTAGGCTAAATATCACCAACGATTAAATCGTCAAATCTTAACAGACTTACATACTATTTACCATAAATCAATTACAATAGAATAATTACAAATAATTTAGATTTCCTCTTTTCGTTATATTTCTATTTTCTCCTTTTACTAAATACATGCATACATACATATATTTGTAATAATAATAATAATAATTCTTACCTATTTCAAAATTTATTTCTCTTCTATACATGCATGCATGCATACACACACACACGTATATATATATATATGTACGTGCTGTATTAGATACAGATGTACGTGCACGTATGTATTGTATTTTTACACATACACGTATGTATGCATGTAGTCATCTAACATAAAATCTATGCATACATATATGTATGTATGGGTGTACTATGTAAGTATGTAAATAGCGCTTTATGCTTTTAAAGAATTTAACTGTTTACATATATATGTATGTAGCTTTGCAATAATTCACAATAAATTATTTACTAACAAATATAAGCTCGTTGAATTTCATTATTTCTTCATCTTTAAATATCAATTGTTTACATTGTCATTCCCATCAAAAAATCCCACCCAACTCTGTGGGGAATTTTCCGCAATCCCTCGTATCTTACAACAATTGCTTTTCATTACGTAAAGTATACATTTTTATGTACATATGTATGTAAGTATATCAATTAAATATTTCATTTGTGTTCATATGTATGTTGTATGTATGTAAATGCATTTTAAAACCGCTATACACCCTCTTCCATTGTCGAGCAACGCTCATCCTCCATATCTCATACATAATCTGAGGGCACTGTTGCCGCTATTGTTGTTGTGCTTGTCTCGTTAATGGCCGCCAAACGTGGTATACGCCGCTGCGAGGTTTCATTTGATCCACCGCCACCCAGCACGCTCATACCACCTCCAATACCTACACCTGCTGGGCCAACACCACCACCACCACCGCCGCCGCTGCCATCCCAATTGGGCAGCGGCTGCGACATAACTGTTAGGCCGACAATTTCATAGGCACGTTCATTGCCGCCACCCGGCATGGCTGTCACGGAGAGGTCGGAATAATAGGCGCTACTGGGTGCTGATGATACCACCATTGGTATGTCCTGTTCATGTTGTTGGAAGTTGTATTTCTGAAATATTAAGAAGAGAAAGAAGTTGAATATGAGTTTTCAAAGGGGAAATGCTTGAGAATGAGTGTTCATTTAGTCGAAAAAAACCCAGCCTAGAGTCGAGCAAAAACAAATCGATAGAGTATGAACATCTCTTCACAATCTCATCAAAGAAGCGTAGTTTTAAAAAAGAGTATTCTTCTCAGACGTGGCAAAACTTTTTTCGGATTTGGTCTTTTGACAGTTGTCACTTGAATTAAAGCAAAATAATGGCTCAGTTCGCGTGACGCATCCCGCGCTATGTCTAATATTCGCTCGACATAATCACCCAGCAGTGTCGGTAATACCAGCATGGATCGGCTTCGCTCGCCATACAGTGCGCACCGAAGCAGGGTATCGAAGAAGACCCGAATGAGTCCATCCGCTCAACGCGCGCAACAATCGGAGCTGCGTGCATATACTGGATATTGGTTTGCGGGCTCATACAAGCAAACTCACGCAGCAACTGAAGCCGAATTATTATTAAGCGCGTAACACTTTTGATTTATGGGCCTAAAACGAGCTGGCAACCCATCCTGATTTCCACAAAACATTTTCGTTCAGCGATGTAGCTCACTATTAAACGAAATTGGCGCATTTAGAGTGATGATAACCCATAAGCCAATTTTTAGACACCGTTACCTCCTCAAAAAGTCACTGTTTGTGTGCTCTGTGAACAGAGGGAATCACTCGTAAATATTTCTTCAAAAGTTATGGGTCCATGATTAATGAGTTTTGTATGCCTGAATTGAAAGATGTTGATGTGGTCGACGCGTAAGACGGCGCTACTATGCCATACAGCCAAAGAAATCAATCAATTTATTGAAGGAAGCTTTATCTCGCGTCGTGGACTAGTAGCGTAGTCTCCAAGATCGGGCGATTTAATACCGCTGGGCTTTTTTTGGCTAATGCGAAGTCGCTTGTCCAAGAGGAAAATTCCATAGATGATTGACGTCTTGTTGTTATTGCAACAATAAAAGTATTCCCCACATTGATTGTTGGAAAATATTGCAGGTTAAGAACCCGGGTCGTTCCGGTATTAAAAAAAAAAACCCGACTACCGCGGAAACTATTGGATTTTAGTCTCCTCCTCCTCTTATGACAGGCATGCCTTACCACAGACAACGCAGGTTGAAAATTGGGTCTCTCGGCTAAAATTTGACGGTCACTTGTTCGAAATCACACTTAAACATAATGGCAAACACTTATCTTTATAGCTAAACCTTGGCCATAGCATTAAATCATATGGAATTTTCTTCTTGAATATTCAACTAATTTTAATACTGACTACAAAAATGTATATATATTTTTTAAGAATTTCGTGCGGTCTAGCTCTACAAATTTAACCCCCAGATTTTCCAAAAAATCTCTGTCATTGCCCCTAACTCACCTCACCACACTGACTGTAGGCCGTATTTTGATATGATGGATTTCCCGAACGTACCGATTCCCGATCCAGCTCTGCATAGAGCGCCTCATTCACCGGACTGTAAGCATCATCCATATGTGTATAATGATTTTCGGCGGGCGATGATGATGGTGGTCCAATTTGATCGGGACTTGCCGACGAGCGGCGACTCCACGACCAAACACCAGAATTACTATTCGGTCGTCTTCGTATACTATCGGCGGGATGTTTGATGGAGAGTGTAGAGCGTCCATGTGAGGCACCATTTCGATTGTTGCGACACCACCAGGGCTGTGTGCGACCAGCTGGAAAGGGAGGGAAAATAATTTTAAAATCATTAAAAAAAATTAAGTATATGAAAATAAGTACATAAATAAAAAATTCTAAAATATTGAAACAAAAAATTTTACTTAAACCAAAACGGTTGAGTTTATGACTGCCTTAGCGGGTTGGTAGATAGATATAGTGGATATCTGGCGACGCAAAAAGGTCTTTAGAAGGCCCATTGTAATGCCATCGGTACTGAAGTTTCCCTTAGCCTACAATGCCTCCTCTGCACTACCCTGCAGTCTTCATAAAGTTACTTAATTTTAAGTTAATTTAAGAAAACCATTTCAGTCTTTTAATTAAATAGCTAAAAATAGCTAAAGCCACATAAGTTCCCTCTTCAACGGCATCTAATTTTAGAGTGGTTCCTAACCTGGCTAGTAGTAGTAGAATATCTCTGTGCCCTGGAACCTATTACAAATAGGATGCTCGTTCAACTAACAAATAAAGACATTCCTCACAGTATTGATGAGATTCTAAGAGAATCACTGCAATAACTTGGCTGCCACGATGGCCGAGCGGTTAGCACCAAAATGCAACCAAAATCCAAATTTATAAAAAAAATTCGTTTGAATTTTCTAACTGCGGTCGCCTCTTCAGTAGGGAATGTCAACCACTCCGAGTGTATTTCTGACATGAAATAAACGCTTCTCATGGAAAACCCTTAAGCCGTTCGGAGGTGGATTAGTTTAAACTCTAGGTCCCTCCGTTTGAAGGAAATACATCAACATGCATGTCATAAACTAGAGGAGAAGCTCGGCCGAAAAGCTGTTACAAAGCGTTAATTATATACAATATATTAGACATAGTAAAAAGAAATCCATTATTTTTGCATAAAATAGAATTATTTTTACTTTTCGTAACCAGCTTTATTCAAATGGTTTCAAAACGGTTTTCTGTGCAATTTTTAACCCTTGGGCAATCGAAACAGTGCTTACGACATGACGGTCTGACTGGACACCGTCCATGATTTTATCGATATTTGCAACAGTTAGCCTTCTCCGTGAAGCATCTTTTACATCAAAATTACCGCAATGAAACCCAAATTGTGCGTGACTGACTGTAACAGTATCAGTACCATAAATCCTACTCACATTTTCAATTGCATGGCTTGCGTTTTTGTCTTTACCGAAGAAGAATTGTAAAATATAGCGTATTTTCTCTTCGCTAGTGCCCATCCTTGATGCACGCTCAAACAAAACTGAATCACCAATCTCAAAACGGACGGAAAGGTTTTTTTTTAGTACGAAATGTCATCTTTCTAACGCCATCTAGAGGAAACCGATCGGACTTATTCAACGCCAGATACATACAAATAAACCATCCATTGGAAAAATAATGGATTTCTTTTTACTACACCTAATATATAGAAAATTTGTAAGTTTTTAGACTATTCAAGCACCTAATTTTACTGAAAAAGTACCACACATCACTCGAGTTTGAATTGGATCATACATAAATACTTTTCTCTGTATTTCTGTGTCCACTCCTCTCTACTCTCCCTCTTCTCTCAGGAGGTAAAGGTAATACTAAAGGGCGAAATTAAATGTTAGAATGCATTTTAAACCAGATACGCAACAGCCGCGTCAAGATGAAATGATACTACAACCTGTCGCAAATCCGGACACACCTGGACGAAATGTGATAAGAAGAGATCACTAGATATGTACTTCAAAGTAATAGGAGCACTGATAGGTCGACATGCGAAAAAACTATTGCAGATGATGCAGAGGTTGCAAGCTGCAAAAAAAAAAAAACATAAGTAAAAGTATTTTATTCACGCATATTTTTGAAACCGCAAAATAGATAACCCTGTAGTCATTGATATGAAAATATCATTGATTATTATAAATCCAAAATATGTTTTTTCTTTATACTTCTCGCTTGCTTTTGCTAAATAGAATATCCTGTTTTCATTTCCGTGTCTCCCGGGATTTTTGCTATCCTTTTCTAAGTTAGCACAAGCTTAAAAGTTTCTTTTTATAAAGAAACTATGCACCTGGCGCTTAAACACCAACGCTAATAAAAAAAAACCCAAACCAAACCCAAAAGTCTTGCGGCAATAAAAACCGAGTTTATTGCCTTGTCGATGGCGCAAATTGCAGTAAGTGTCGCATTGCCCAAACCACTCACGCCATTTTTCAATTTTAGTATACACCAAAGTGAAGAGAAATACACACATTTACTTCCACATACAAGACAACGACAACAAAAAAAAAAAAAAAAAAAAACACAAAAAAAAACTCTTAAGTGTCATATCATGTGTCCGTATGTCATATCGAGTGTGTGAGTGAGTGAATGTTTGTTGGGGCGTTGCCAAAAACGCCAAAAGACTGTTGTCAAAGCAAAAGAAAACAGCAAAAGGAACAACAAAGCGTTTATGCTTTAACAACTGCTTTGCTTTCCCAATGCATAGTGACAGAGTCGAGGAATTGCCATATTTTTAACAAATTATTATTGTATTATTTACATATATATTTGTTTTACAGCTATACACATGTACATACATATGTTAATCGTTCAATTAAATTCATAGCATATGATTCGTCGTCAAGCGGCACACACTTACATATGTACTTGTACAATATTTGTCTTAAACACTTGCAGCGGGTCCGCCGAGGCGTATGAGTAATGTACGCAGTTTAAAGTGTGATTATTTATGGCATACAATGGCAGTTCGCATGTAAATGGATATGAGCATATGCAAATAAATACATATAATCACATATGTAATGCAAACATTCATTCATTTCTAGGCATACACATGCATATATACACACATACATATATGTATACCTTAAAGTGTTGGTTTAAATTTCCTCGGTTCAATGGCACTAAGACGTCATTTTACAAATTGGAACTGACTTTTATCGCAAGCATGTCATTAATAGAGCACTTTAAGATCAAAGAAAACTCTTAGTCATAAATACATGTACTACTCCTTTGCACCAACACAGCGTACTCGCCTACATCAGTCTTCAAATAAATATGCTTTTCGATGGTGGGCAGGAGGAGTGGGGGTGAGGCCAACAACTCTGCTCGAACACTGTAAAATTTCAATATTTATCGTTTTCATAGTTATGTATGACTTTGTTGACAGTCAGCAGTTGGGGGTGTGTTTTTAACTGGCATCATATAAACGCACATATCTAATGTACTCGTACATATGTATGTATAACAGTAGATACCATAAGTCTTCTTGTTTGCTTTTGCTTTGTCTGTCTAACTGTCTCTTTGTTTGTACAGTTTTCGCATTCGATTACACACTCAATTATTCATGCAAAAAGAGAAGACGAAAAAAAAAACAAAAGTACAGCAATTGTGCGGTTGTGTTTGTATGTACATATACATATATTTTTGTAATTGCTGATTCGATAAACAATATTTACGAGTGTTTATTTGTAAACAAAAAATTACATATTTGATTATAATCTCTGTTGATTATTCATTGACTATGTAATGCAAAAGTGAAATGTTATGTTCGCATACGTGTATGTGTTTGTTTGTGTGCATGTGAGAATATGAATTTGGCTTGATACAGTTTAACTTTCACTTGTCAAACGCTTGCAATTAATAATGGCTTATGAGTCAGTTAGTCAGTTGGTCGCTGTGCGATGAATGTATATACGTGAAAAATATATTCTGTTGAAATGTGTTTCTTGAGCTTTCCAGTCCTTAAAAAAAAACAAAAATTTTCAAAGTAAATGAAAAATTTGATTTTCAGTGTATGTTCCATTGACCGACCAACAGTAATTCCTTAGGCTGGAATCATATCTTATATGATGAGAGTACTCATATTTATACATAATCTTATAAACGAACCGTCCGAAAGAAATATTTATTAGTAGAAATTAGTAGAAATCGCATGATTTGTTAAGAATTCCAATTATGACTATAAATCTCATATCTGCATAATTTTATTTTTTTCACTGCCATTAAAGCTTTTATTCAACTCAAGTTAAGTTTATAGAAGGTGAAGTTGTCACTTCATATGATTGCTTGTTCTTCCTTCCATTTCAACACATCGCACAAACCAAATACATGGGGATATAGGTTTTGGCATTTGGAACATTCGTTTACCCCGAAATAAGGGGTTCTCCAATAGGGATAATATGATTTCTAAGTGTCGATTTGGTCATTTTTAATATGTCACGAGATGTATTTTTTTTTTCATTGTACGCAGTTATGTTTTCAATTTCACCATGGCAAGATTTACGCAAGAAAAACGTTTACTAACAACAAGTACAAACACTCGAAAATGATAACGATTTGTTTAAGAAAATCATCTTCTCCGTTGAGGCTCACTTTCATCTGAGTGGTGAGTAAATAAATAAAACTGTCGATTCTGGTACGACAAGATCCACAAGTTATTCAGGAAGAGCCTTTTTTTCGTTGTAATCGACGCTTTGTAACCGCTGAAGCGATTTTTCATTCGAGCTTCTTCTCCAATTGGTGGTTTTGTATTTTGATTTTTTCCAACATTTTTCCAACCATTACCCTCACCTAAATTGACAGTTTGGTGTGGTTTTTGGGCCGGTGGAATCATCGGTTCGTACTTCTTTCGAAAAGTAGGTGGTAGCACCGTTACTATCAATGTGGAGCGCTGTAGATCGATGATAATCAACTTGTTATGCCCACAATTGGAAGAAGTTGACCTTAAGAACATCTGGTTCAAACAAAAAAGGCCTACGTGCCGCACATCACTTGCAACAACCGAAATCTTGCGGGAATGCTTTTAAGATTCTATTATTTCAAGAAATTGTGACATTAATTGGCCTTCAAATAGTTGTGATTTAACTCTATTAGACTACTTCTTGTGGGGTTATGTGAAGTCATTGGTCTTTAGCAATAAACCACAGTTTTTCTTCGATAAGGAAGGATACTTTCAAAGTCAATCGTTCACAATTTCGGTTTCATTCCGATAATTTTGATATATTAAAAATATGCTTCATGGGGTGGAAGGCCAATTGTCGAAAAT